ATATGATCTCATCCCTCACGGGACACTGTCGTGTGTATCGCATTGCCACGAACTGTTCCACCACGATCCGCTGCACCATGTCGCCTCCTGGTGACATCTCCATTGCATTCTGATCCTTGTGGAATAAACTCGAATTGTGAACCCTCCATGTGTGGCCTCTGCCAATACATCGCAGGGTCTCATCCACCTTCGATTTTGTTCGCTCCTTTGGCAATCGACCTTCATCCACCCACTCTTGGGTCACACCTAGATGAAGCACTGCTCTAGGACAGTCCGTCGCCTAGTAGCTCCTGAAGTCCACCGACTTCGCTGTAATTTATGCACCATTGCCTGGCTCCTGGGCCTCTGCCCCTACCAGCACAATCTCCGCTGCGCACCGCTTCCTTCCTAGCAACTCGAATGGCAACACTGTGGCATATTCTTCAAGAGTACCCGCCTCTGCGTCCTCTTGCCCCGTGCTAAGGCCTTCTGAACCCAACTTCGCCTCCGCAAATTGAGTCGCCTTAGTTCTTCCATCAAATGCTCCTCCGAGATAAGGTGCATGTGCCCAGAAGCTCCCTTCGTCTTTGGCACCATGCAAGATGAGTCTACTCCGTCAGAATGAAGGACCCATGGAACAACATGATCCCGCTCTTGCCTCTGCAAGAGTTCATGTCCTTGACTCTGTCTAAGGAAAGCACTGTGCCTCTGCTCCATGCTCCAACTTCTCCGCTGGCTCCCTTCATGCGGCTTGGGTACTTCGCCAAGTTACACCCAAGTTGCTCCGCTCCTCGTTTTTGCATTGAGTCGATGGTGGCCCTCGCGCCCACCATTCCACGGGTCAGCCCTCCCTTGAGTTCGATCTCCACATCGACTCCAAGTGTGCCTTCATTTGTGTTGCTCCCCCACTTGATCTCGCAATGCATCCACCAATGCATTCTCTCAAGCGAGATCATGCGACGACTCCTCGCCGCTTGCTCAGTCCATCGAGCTTCGTGGAGTTGTTGTTTATTGAGGTACTCCTCCTCAACATGTGAAGTCCGTCTCACATGATTCTCCCTCTGGAGAGCCGGAACTTATCCCTCCTGGATAACTGTCCCATTGGAGCAACATCTCTCTTCGTTTCGGAGACCACCATCCCCTTGGACTACTCCGATCTGCTGAACAAACTATGCATTGTTCTGCCTCCTGCAAACGCACTTGCTAGATTGCGATTCCCCGTCAATACAGCCCCCACTACACCCCTCAAGGCCTAGCAACATGCTGAACTCGTTGCACACTTCAGCCTCCTACGGACGTATCCTTCACATGCCGAAGAGAAAGTTTCAATGCTCCATGGCGCCGAGTCTCGGTCGCCTTGGGATGGCCACGAACATTCCGTCGTCCGCATACAAACCCATGCATGAGTACCAAATTCTTCGAGTTAGCAATTCCCCTCACCTCTGTGAGCTTTGCATAACTCTTTTGGTCGTTGAGCAACTCATTCCACCTTGCATGGTCTCATTCTTGCCAAGCGCCTCGCTTGCCTAGAGCACCATCAAGTATAGTTGTCAACGTTGAGCCGTAGCTCAAACTCAGTCATCCCAACCTTTGTGCGCTCCAAATTCCTCCAAGCTTGTCTGTTCTCGTGGTGCCTCTTGCGCGAAGGGTTGGCCATTCCTCTGAATGCCAATCTCAGATGCCTGCTCCTCTGAGCGACTCTTTTCCCTACATCTCCATGCCCGTTTTCCCCCAAACGGTCGCGCGTGTACTGACTGCCCTCAACGCAGCCCCGCTAGGTCCCCCACGTTTGCATGCTAAGTGTTTCTATGAGTGCTTGTCCCGCTCTGATACCATATGACACGGACTTGGCTGGTTTTGCCTAAGTCGTGCGGTACCCTTGCGTGTTCGTCCGCAAAGGTCAGCCTCCCCGAAGACTCCCATTGTCCCCTAGGACCAACAAAAGAGAGAACGGGCAAGAGAGAACGCCTCCATCGGGATCCACAAGCAAACATCTCCGAAAAACACTTCATAGACAATGCAAATTACAAACAGACTCTACAAGCTCTGAACAGTGGCACAACAAAGGGTAAAATGGTTCATTACAGACCGAAAAGCTCTCGCACGTGTCCACATGACACAACCTTTATTTACAAGCCTAAAGAGGCCACCAACCCAACTAACATGGGACTATTAAGCCTTCGCCCGCCCCTCTACCTGCTATACAAGGCATGAACATGCCAAAAGACACGGACATATATAAGCATTACATCAAACACCCTGTTTCAAAGTTTGTCCGTGACAGTACGTACGTTGTCACCATGGAGTGGGAGAATTGGCTAACGTTCATTAAATTAAAAAGAGTAGGCGCATCAAAAGTTGCTATAATTTTTCGAAAATATCGAATTAAAAAAAGAAAAGAAAAAAATCAAAAGATCTGTGGCTGCTGGGATTCGAGCCCAGGTCTCCACGGCCACAACGTGGAATTCTAACCACTAAACTACAGCCACGGTTGTTGAATTAGCAACCATCATCTTTCTTCTGTAAGAAATGCTGAGTTATTCTTGAACCCCACGCTTCGCGTTTTAAGCGGCGGTCAAGTCAGCTTCCTAATAGTGATTAAGATTTATGATCGAAATAAACGGTTTTGAAGAGACCCTTTCGTACTTTCCCTACGGAGAAGTCCCTATTCTCCGTTCAAAGATTTGACTTCTCCTTATTTGCAGGTATAAAGGGTCAAAGTTGACCACCACCACCGTTTGGTTGGGCGGCAAGAGCTAATCCCCAAACTTGGCTCGCTTAGATCAAAGTCTAAGTCAGCTAATTAACTTCCTGTCCACCAACCGGTGACCTTTTCCTTCGACGGGTCTTTTATACGATGCTTGCGCGACGAGTAACGAACGACTAACTGTTTTTATATTTCCTATCAATTCGATATATTTATAGTTTTTATTTTATTATCAAGAATTAAATGTTCGAAATATTATTTAATATAGATTTTAAATTTTGTTGTAAGATTCTGTACTTGAATCTTATTTTTATGATTTATCTTTAAATAAAAAAATTTATATCACAGTAATGATCTGTCGCGATTTAGGTAACACCGGTGGGTCCCACATGGAGACTCGGCCAGCCACCTCACCGACGGCCGTGAGAGGTATATATGTAAAAGTCGTCGCGGGAGGTAAGTGGATACCGCGGGCGGGTCCCGCATCAGCCTCCTCCAGGATTGGTTGTCCCCAAGTGGTTTATTTACCCTGGCGGTCAGCACATCCAGAAACTTGGCGAAACCGAAACCGTCAGCAAATTCCTCTTGACCGACGCTGGGTGGACCAAAGACGAGCACCTCTACAAGAAATGGTTCGTGGAATGAGCTCAAGGAAACTTCTCTGCAGACCATGTCTCTTCTCGTCCTCGCACGCCGTTGAATATAAATCCTCTCGACCGAGAACCTCGTCTGCAACCTCCACCTCTCATCAGCTCTCAGCTTACATGGCGTCTCCTCGCTCCAACGTCACGGGCCTCGACGCAGTCTTCCGCTTCTTCGACAAAGACGGCGACGGGAAGATCTCCGCCGCGGAGCTGACCCTCTGCATGAGGACGGTCGGCGAGGAGTTGTCCCTCGAGGACGCCGAGGCCTTCGTCGCGTTAGTAGACGGCGACGGGGACGGGCTGCTGGGGTTCGAGGAGTTTGTGAAGGTGGTGGAGGTGGAGGGGGAGGAAGAGACGGAGAGAGGCTTGAGAGCGGCGTTCGAGATGTACGAGAGCGAAGGGGAGGGCTGCATTACGCCCCGGAGCCTGAAGCGGATGCTCAGCCGGCTGGGCACGTCGAGTGGCATCCACGAGTGCGCGGCCATGATCTGCAGGTACGATCTCGACGGCGATGGAGTGCTGAGCTTTGAAGAGTTCAGAAGCATGATGACGATGGTGTGAGCGGTGGGTTTGATTTGATGATGGAATCACATGATCTGTGAAGAGGAGGATTGGATATTGGACTATTCTTTCGTTCTTATTAATTTATGCATGTATGTATGGGGGTAATTATAGATTAGTTCCTGTAGTTAGATTTTTTTTTAGTATTTCAATTCTTGGACTTAAAAAATTTGTATTGACATACTATAATTATAATTATAAAAGTAAAACATATAACTCTATTTCTCCTAATTTCATCATTTTTATCGAAGGAAGTACAAAAATAATGATCGAAAAAATAATTTTAACATCCCAGTTACGTTTTTAGTTGTAACAGACAGCAACAGCGTTATTGGGAGCCATGACAACTGCATCAATATTAATACAAATGTAGAGTGGTGCCAATGCAGATGCAATACAGAGTGATGAAAGGATGACGGTTTACATTAGGCCTACGATGCATCCATCCATGGTACCAACTTCCTCTTGCCTTGCCACAATCACTAGGGCACCTATGCCGCTTGCCACTCCCTCGACGCTGACTACCGCGTCTTTGGCATAGGTCCGTGGTGGGTCCGCCATCTCTACGCTTCCTACAATTTCGATCCTACTATCTCCTCCTTGCACTCTCTGTGGCCTCCTCGTCCTCTAGCTCTTGCCTCTCCACTTCCAAGTCCATAGTGACACTTCGGATAAAGAAGCCCACAAATCCTTAGCAAACGACCATAAAGTGACAATGCGGTGTGGTTGAGGAGAGGGTGGAGGCCGTCTTGTTAGGTTGGAGCCGGAGGATGGGGTTGCAGAGTGGATGGTGATGCGTGGAAGCGGTAGCTCATGTAGTTGGCCTGCACTAGGAAACGACCGTAGCCCTGCCATTACAGGTGGCCCTCGTGGCCACATTGTAGTTTGTCTTCAAGCTCCGAGAGCAGGATGCAACAACGAAAAGGGGTAGTCGGGTGGCACTTTGGTGACTAGATGTGTGCTTCGGAGTACCTGCAAGGCTGATCACCACCACTGCATCATGGATCGCCCGAGTCACCGAGAGCAAACCCATAGTGATAGGGCAGCGGTTGTTTCCTTGTGTGGGCCAACCACGCGGGCTATCACTTCCACGCATCGCCATTCGCTCCGCTACCCCATCCTCTACCCCAACCTACCAGGATGGCCTCCACCCTCTCCTCAACCACCTTGTGCCACCGCTTTGTAGTCGTCTGCCAAGGATCTATAAGCTTCTTCGCCTGAGGCATCGCCATGGACTTGAGGTGGAGAGGCAAAAGCTAGAGGACGAGGAAGCCATGAAGTGCAAAACGGAGGTAATAGGATCGAGATCACAAGAAGCGTAGAGGAGGCAAACCTGTCGGAGACGTGACAACCAACGTCGACGGAGTGACAAGCAGCATATATGACCTAACGGATGTGGCAAGCCAAAGGGAAGTTAGCGTCGACAGTTGCCATGACCCTTAGCAACATCATCGTCTATCACCATCGAAAACATAATTGAAACGTTAAAATTATTATTTTACTCATCGTTTTTATGCTTCCATTAGTAAGACCGATATAATTGTTTTCACTTTCGTAACTATAAGAATCATAATATAATTTTTTTGAGTTTGAAGATCGTAATATAAAAGAGATCTAACTATAAGGGTAATATCTAATTGGCTCATGTATGGATTCCTTTTACCATCCAACACTACCTCGTACAGCATGTGTGCCTACTACATTAACTACGGCAGAATGTGATACCAAAGTATGCATAAGATTCGTTTTTTTTTTTTTTGGATACTAATATGGACTAAGGCGCCTATGATTGAGCACGCGCGACACACATGAAGGGATTTACATATCATCAGTCTCCTATTTCCGATAATATTGCTTCATTTTTATTTTCCCCCACACGAGAAATTATGAGACTCCTTCGCACCCAATACACAAATGAAACTGCTTATGTGCTGCTCTTAAACTAATAAATTACATGACATTCATATATCATCCGCCTAAATTTACAAATGACAGTCAATTGTAGCCGCTAAACATCTAGAAATCGTTCATCTCCAAAAGTATGCATAACCTTTGACTCTGGAGAGAAAGACAAATAGTTCATAGAGAAGCTTATTTGCTGTAAACTGCTTCCGAATGAGCACTGTCAGAATATTATTACTGTACAGGCACTTACAAAATTCATTAAAGGATACAGAAACAAGAAATCTGGCATACAACCTCAAGAAAAGCAAACAAGCAAAAAAGGATACATCCGGCGGTAGAGTACAAAAAGTAAACATACACAATTATAATTGACATGAGATGATAAGAACCTATATATGTGCCTTCCAGCTACTGTTCATACAAATCTACACACGATCCTCTGTTCTATGAAGCAGAAACCATTCGTAATCTTTGGGCCTTAATGGTAATCACAAAATGCCTGGAACCGAAAGAAAAAGGATTGACGAGATAATAACCTTATGAAGATGCATCCCAAACCCAGGATTCTTCCTCAGTAACACTTCCCTTCCCCCACTATATCATCTCAGTACGTTGCCATAGGAGGCATTCCAAATGGCGGCATCGGGGGCATCCCCATACCAGCCATGGGTGGCGGAGGTGGAAAAGGTCCACCCATGCCTGGACCTCCCATACCAGGCACTGGTGGAGCTGGCAACGCCAAGGGTAGCAACTGAGCATACATATTCTGCAAAAGGAAATCAATGTCATTGTTAGGCAACAGAAGGACACTTGAAAAAATAAAAAAAAAAGGATTGTTAAGAATGAATGCGTCCAACATGCCTGCTGAGCAACCAAATCCTTCTCCTCATTTTCTTTTACTTTTACTTCATTTTGTGCTTCAATCTTGTCTTTAATAAGTTCATCAACTTTGCTCGTATACTCCCGAATAAACTACAGAGACGAAAACAGTATGTCATCGATGCTGACATGGCTTCAAACGATGTGTATAGTCTTCGTGATTGGGAACACACCGCATGATACTATTGCAACCACAAGATAAAAAAAAGAAATCACCTGCAAGAGGTATGGGAAAGCAAAGTCCAGCATATTGTTCGTCCAGGCGAGTTCAACAGCAACATCAGGACGAATCAGGTCATAACAAATGAAGAGACATGAAGCAAAACATTCTTTCTTTCCCTGTCATAGCAAACCAAAAAAAAAATCAGTCATTATTTAAGCATGATTAAAGTGAATGGATTAGAGTGTACGATCTCATCCAAGCACAACCATAAGGAATGAGAATGCATGGAGATCTTGTTTAATTTTCTTAGTTACCTAAGATTAACATGATGACACTAATCCTTCCTAGAAAATAATAACACGAATTTTTATGATTCATATAATATCTAGATCTTGCTCTTATTACCCTAACGCTATCCACAAAAAGTGTTCATGATAAATAACTGATTCACATTAGAGTGAATGGTGAAATATGAATTTTAAAGAACCACTAAATGTGATGATCAATCAAGGATTTATGTTACATTGATCACAACTTATTGAACATAATTATTAAATAATATCAAGTGAAAGTAACTGTAATGAAAACTGGATCAGCTGATACACTGATTATTCTTGGTAGTTGGTACCCGTGTATGCAACGCTTTAGTTGCTTTATATATAGCTGTTGCTACTAAAGCTGATCAACTTTGTATAGCAGCTTAATTACACATGAGAACAGTATCCATTTACTTAGGTTCCCTGACTTCAGCCACACCAGTTTGATAACTTTAATCTAATCACAGGAAGTTAATCTTAAATGCCTTGTATGCATATGTTCAAAATGTAATTTTATTTTGCATTATAGTGTGCTTCCATATATTGTATCTGATAGCTTAAAACTAGAAGGCACCTTCTAAAGATGATATTATTTAAAGAGATTTCCTTTCTTACCCACTTAGGCATTGGTCAACTCATTGAACCCAATTATGAAAACAGTCCCCACTTTGAGCAAGTAATACAACTATTCTACTAGAAGAACAAACTCTTGCCACTTGTATAGCATTGACAGGGTAAGGACAAAGCAATAGGCAAAAGTAAAAGGCATGATGCACGGGGCTCAGACAATTCAGGCCATGTGGCATCAAACATATGCAATTATCCACTTCAAAGCAGACAGATAGGATGTTTCCATGACTCTTAATCCTTGACAACAAAGTTGCAAAGAAGCAAATGTATGGTGCCAAGCATCAAATGGTGGCAAAAAGAACCACTTTTTTCTCTAATCACATGCAAAACCGTTGGTATAAACTGTATCTATCATTATGTGAAGTAACATTACTATTCTAATCTATGACTACAGTAAAAGAGGGTTCCTTACAATTAAAAATTTAAATCAAAAGGTAGAACATGACAAAAAGATTAAGGAACAAATTTTGAAGGCTGCATTTGACCACGTCACCAAAATGAAAAAGGAAAAGCATTTCTTCAATGACTTACCAGGAACACACAACAATTAAAATTAGCACCACTCCAAAGGTAGTCTACAGTTAACAAATTTTTTACCTGCTCAATAAAATAAACAAGCAGCTCTTCAGAAAGTTCACGGTCACCAGACTGTGAACATGTCTCCATTGCATCTTTGTATAGGTTGTCCTTCTTAGACAGTGCAATGGATTGCTTCCATCTTCCTGCTTTCTTGTAGATATATGCAGCAATACGCCTCATTTCGAGAAGCTCATGCTTTTCAATCTAATTCATACAAGACTCATCAGGACTCAGGATTAAACTATAATATTGTAGTTTGAAATAAACAAGTCAAAAAAATTTACCCTCTGTGCAAGGCCTATCTGATCAAAGTTATCATGCATATCAACTGATTCCCGTAACCTGTCATAATCCTCCTCCTCGACATAAATTTTGTTTAGTGCCTCATTAACAGCAGCTACATTGTTACTCTGAACTGCAACCATGTACGGCTTCACAAGATGCAAATGACCAGCCTGGTACATGCAAGGACTGATTATCTAAATAGCCTTACTCTACACCAACAGTAGTTATACCTTAACTACAAAAAATGAAATTAAAAAGGCAAAATACGATGGCATGAGTACAGGTCAACACCTTCCGCATTATATCTACTACACGAGTGTGGTCCACACGAAGGGCGAGGACATGCAAAAGATCATTAATTAGATCAGGATGTTCTTGCAGGTAGAAATGCACTGCTTTGTAATAAAGCTCAACATTTGCTACTTTGACGACAACATCTTTAAACTGCATGTGATCCCATGCATCCGGAGAATGGTTCATTATAGTCGTGGCAGCATTGTCAAACTCATCATACTGAATATACAGATAGGTTAGCTCCTTCCAATGTTGTTGCTCATCACACACACGGATAAGTTTGGGAATGTTAAGCTGAGTTGAGAAAAGTTTAATGTGTTCCATAAGTTTATCTGGTCGATATCTGGCATACAGGACTCCCAACTCTGTAAAAATACCCATGTGAACACGTTCCAATCCAAGGCCACTTTCCATGAGGGAGATTAACTCATTAAAGCAACCCCTGTTCTGATAATAATCACTGACCTCTTCCAAGTCATCAACCTGAGGTGTAAAATTGTGCGATCAGTATCCAGCTTAAAGAGGAGATAAGATCCACTAGATGACCTAGTGGTGACATCAAAAAAGAAAGTAGATAGAGAAAATGTTTATATTACATATTGATATTACCTGGATAATGATATTTAGACCACAAATTTGTGCTAAGCGGAATTCCTCAGCATCAACACAAGCAAAACAAACTTCCTTCCATGTCTTTGAGCTATTTGCTTTTCGAGCTGCATCCACTGCACCCTGGAACTGCCTGAGCTTGACCAGTGTACTAGCCAGCTTTGCCCAGTTAGAAATGAAAGTAAATATGATCTTCGCAGCTTCATACAGGGCATCATCAAACAAGCGATCACCAACATTTTGGAGATTAGCAACATTGGGCATAAGAATGAATTCCTCAATTTCACCCAGCCTATCAATCTTTGCATATGCATATATGAGTTCGCTATCCACCTTTGGTTCTTTGATCTTTTGCCTCACCATCAGTAAGTACTTCACCAAGTCATGGTAAATGTTTGCATCCTCAGCAGCCCGAATAACATCTAGGAATTGGGTAGCATCATCTGCACGAATGAATGACTCTACTGCATCACTCACTAAACCTTCACGTAACTGAGCTTTGGCTACCTGACTCCACACATCATCTTCTTCTACACGGAATGCAAATTCTACAGCTCGCTCTATGCTTTGAATGTTGTCCAGGAGGACATTGACTGCCTGCACATTTAAGTTGAATTTCTTAAAGATGGCAAAAGCTTCCTCATACAGTTGAGCTTCAACAGCCACCTCACCCACTGCAGGGCCATCAAAGTTGTCCAATCTATTCACATAATCCATAACCCTAGATGGATCTGCTTTGATGGCAGTTAAAATCAGAAGGTTTTGCAGATTAAAATTCCCACTAAAGGCTGAATTCTGGAGCACAATCTTTTCAAGTAATTCAATCAGTTCATGTGGAAGATCAGCAGTCATGAAAGCTTTAACAGCTGCAGAGACTTGCTCTGGGCTCTTACTTTCGGGCAATGCAGTAGAAACAACCTGATCAATGAGTTGCCTTCTGTAATCATTTTCAGGAACAAGAACTTTCTCCCACAGATCAGCATCCATTCTTTCGACGACATATCTGTCATTAAAATTATATACCAAATAATTTAAGTGGACCACAGAGACAAAACAAGAGAGACATTTCTACAATAACTTGAAAGAAAAAAGAGATGTACCTGGCTTGCAACTTGAACAGCGAATTTTTATTAGTGACATTTATAAGTTCATCATCACATTGACCTCGTCTATATGCGACAACTGCAAGTGTGGGATCCCGTTTTTCACAATATTTGCCCACAACACGTGAATCATAGTATGGATTTGTTGTCAGAAAATGCTCCGGATTGTTATTGCTGTCAATGATGATCATTCCTAAAGCATTGTGAACATGCACATCTTGGCTCCCTTCACTCACGAGATGCTCCAGAAATTGTGTGAGTAGTCGCAGACGGTTCCTATTAGTCCATAGAACATAACCGAAGATATTAGTTGAGAAAGGTTGTTTTAACAAGTACTAGCTAGAGTGGGGGATGTCACAAACCTCTTCTCACATTCAGCCACAAGAGGCTCGACTGGAAGGAGAGAACGAACGGAAAGAATCAGACCCTTTATAAAATCTTCCGGACACTCATCATCTAGCAGCTGTCCTACTACCATAGGTGCATTGCCTGGGTTCACCTATCATAAGAACAAAAAAAACAAAAAAAAATTGTGAAGTTACTCTATAAGATCTGATAGTTCTAATGAACTAGTCATGAATACTGCAATCTTAAAGCCCTATGTTTCTATATAATAAATATAAACAGTACTGTAAAAATTTAAAATGGCATAAAGGGAAATTTATCTTACTTTCTGGACATAACCTTCAATATATCGGAGCATATTGTTTGTGTACAAAAAGTGAGTTAAATCAGGAACAAAACCAAAACGGTCGCAAACATTTATCAAAGGCCTTGCATCAGGAAGTTTGGCTTCCATCAGGAAATTCTTTGTTTTCTCTGGATCATAGAAGTTGGATTCTCTTGTTACACGTTCAACTTCTTTAATTTGACCAGTTTTGGCTGCTGCCTCAATATATTTAAAGTGTATATCTGGATCTTCACTGTTTCAAATGCATAAGAAAAAATGAAAAAAAAAAAAACATCGTTGTCATAATTGCAAACCTCTCACCCAGAAGAAATTGCATGTCAAACAAGTACCTGGAACTCAAGTATGATCCCAAGAAGAAGTAAAGACCTTCATAAGACTTGAATTGCTCAAATAGCTGTATACAAGCATCCACACCTAACTGCTCAGAATATTCTTTGGCAGTCTGACAAAACATAAGATTGTATTAAGCTGATATTAGTTAAGTGATACAGAGTATCTTATAGTGAAAAAAAAACCAAAAGAAGTTATACCTGTACAATTATTTGAAGATTGCCTCTCAGATTCACAAGCAAAAGGTCCTTCATGCATTCTAAAGCCCACTCACTAGAAAGAGTACCAAAGAACTCCACAAGTGCCTGGAGGACAGGTAGATCTAATCTATTACCAAAATAGTTATCCAATTAAAATATCTAACAAAGGATAGCACACCTGTGGTTCAATGGCATGTGTGTTCACTATCACACGCTTAATATCAGGCAACTCTGTGTAATGCTGAGGCACAAACAGGAATGGTTCAATAAACTGAAATAGAAAAAAATCAGTTCAAGATAAGTACTGAGAAACATTCACCTGAAGGGCTCGTATATAAAGGCCAGCCTTTTCACACAGCTGAGCTATCCGAGGACGATCATAATGACTAAACATTCCATTAGCCAATATAGCATCTGCAACATTAGGATATGTCACCAAATTGATCTCCAGAACCTGCAACCCTGACAAGGATTAAAATGACAACTAAGATGAATGCTGAGAACACTAAACAAGCATAAGCAGAAAGCATCACCTTAGTTTGAAGAAAGGCATGCTCAGGTAAATTGGGCTTCAAAACATCTAACAGAAAAGCTGTCGCCTCCCGGATCATATTTCTCTGCTCAAAAAAGGCCATTACCAAGAAAAAAATAACTTCACCATCTGCCAAATTAGATAAAAGGAGTAGATCAAGCGAAATATGGTGTGCTAGCACTTCCAAACAAAGACACTGGTCCAAAAGTATCCTTTAAAGAATGAGACTCAGCACATGACAAATTAAATAAACCTGGAGAAAAAGATCAGTAATTGTATTGTAATCCACCGGACAGCCACCCTCCATTTGGGACATCATGAGAGCAAAATTAACTGCTCCCTACCATGCAAAAAAATTACTGATTCAACAACTATAAATGGAAATCTAGACAAGAATGAATGAAATAAGTGAGAAAAGAGATGGAGCATGTAAATTATAGAACATCTCCCATAACAATTTATCTATTTCTTCAATTACCAGAACCATTTAATTAGTCCAAAGAACAGAATCTTACCTGAGGATCTGATCTTAAAATTGTTTGCAGAAGGAAAAGGTAATCTGGTGTGTATCCCACCTGCATTCAGTGACATGCTTGTTAATGTATGATCCATAATTTTTGGTTGACCTTACTACAGAAGCCTTTTGTAGCATGGAAATAAAGATTCAATAACCCCTTATACATGTTCTGTGGTTTGCACTTTACAGGTGCATGAACTCTGATGCATGTGGCTACATATGTGTTATAACATTTGATCCTGATATGAATGAACATATATTCCACAAAACAAAAGAAAATTTGAGTTGGTGCTTGATTTGACATTTCACAAATCAATTAGCAATAAGTACCTGCTTCGAATAAATAAGTATCTTGTCAAACTCTCTTCGTTCAGCAAAAGCAGCAACAACTTTTGGAGTACACCTGGCTTTTATATAGATTTTCAATGCTAGATCATTGTCCACAGTCTACAGGTGGAACAGCAATCAAAGATGAAAAAAGGAGAATAAGTTGCGTCCTATTTTCTGCAGTAACTAATCAGTAACAAAAAAATTGTAATTACAGGATCTCCAGTAAGGTTCTTTTATAGAAGTCAACAACCCACCTTCACAAGATCCCCAAGTTCTTCACTACACTCAAGCTTGTCTTCAGCCAACCAATTTTCCAATAGATTCTTTTTGTTCTGATTTACAACAAGGCGAGATAACTCCAAAGACTCAAAAGCATTAAGTTTTCCTCTTGTTAACAATGTTCCAAAGTATTGTAAAAGAGGTGGTGTCTGTCCAGATTGCACAGGAACACTCTGCACAAAGTGTATAAAGACACTTAATAAAAGGTGCACCAATCCTCAAGCTATGAACATTTGAAAATCGGATTTGAGTGAATGTATAACTTTTCCTGTCGCAGGTTTCTACAACCAGAAATGTAAAGAAATGGACAGATTACTACAAGTTAATATTAAATGCAGTTAAAATTTATCATAAATTTTACTAAAATTTCAAAGACAACAGTCAGTGTATTCACGCTCTATAATGCTATATATCAGAGCAGAAGTGAAAGAACAGAAGAACAGGAAGCAAGTACTTGAAACTTCGCCACAGTCTCTGGAGTTCTCAGGATGCCTTTTGGAGATTCAGCAGCCAATTCAGCAGCTTCCTTGTATTTTGTCTGAGAAAACAATTCATGGAACCTTTGCACAACCTGATGGAACAGAAAAAGCTAATCAGGAATGCATTCACATCAATCCTAGATGCTCTAGGACCTGGCTGCAACTTCAACCAATAAAGGAAAGTCTCTGTAATAGGCCACTTTACTAGCAATTCCTCTAGTCCCTATATTGGTATAGCATAGTTTAAAATAAAATTATTTACTATTAATATTTGTATTCTAAAAAATCTATATGTGTCCTTTGGTAAATTTGATGGGATAACAATATCAACTCTCTCTCAGAATTCCTACATATAAGTGGCTTATATTGCCAGCAGGCACGGTTGATTGTTATTTTCTTTAGTTCCAATTTTAGTTCTCTCTTTCTTCCTCTATTGTTCTAATGGAGGCACTACTCTCCCTCCCCAAGGAAACACATCCTATCAACAGCATGTGTCTAACAAGTAATCCATGACTAAGATTTTTTTTTTGCATTCTAAAAAAAACTATTTCAGAAATGGAAACTTATGGTCTACCAAATTTTCTGCCCCTGGAAGATTTCCTCTTTTAGCAAGGCTAACAGCAAGCTCCAGATTGTTCAACTGCAACAAGCACCACATATTAGAGATACTTCAATGCATTCCATATATGATCCAACTAAAAAAATACTGATGTGCTTACTTGACCACTGACAAATGGCACAATGGTTGCTTCATTAACAGTAGCCAACAAAACCTGCCCTCTCCTATTGATAGCATAAAATCCACCAACTGTTGAAGCCTCTGAGGTCAAGAATATAGGATCTGGACTAATTCGATTTCTGTAAACTGCTGTTGCTGTTTCAAGATCGTAAACAAACAACAGACCGAGCTTCGTGATCACATATATTAAACTGTACTTTTGTGAGATCTGAAAAGAAAACACATGCTTAGGCTGATGGCAGGTTAAAGACATCTTATGGAGACTACAAAGGTAGAGTTCTATTCATTACCTGCATTGCCACTGGGAAGTCATCAGCAAAATCTGGTGGAAAAAATAAATCTGCTTGTTTCTTAGTGAAGCCTGGTTTACCTGGAAAAAGGAAATCAAACCTTCAGAACAAAGGCTAAAGCTAACAAAAAGAGAACAGAAGAAAATAAGAACATATCATTCAAAAGAAACTAATAAGTGCATTTCAATTAAGTTCATGAATTTGCACCAAAGTGATTACTTGCTAACTGAACAAGAAACACAAAAAAGGTTAGGAAAGGCAGGGATCTAATTTTAACTTTTATAAAGCCCGTGACGAAAGTCTTATGGCTTTGTTGTTGTTGTATAAAGCCCATGAAGAAGGTCTTCTATTTAGGATAAAAGGATACATCTGGTCATTTGGAATACTATTTTCATGGTAGCATCCTTCCAAATATTAGAGAATGTTACTTCTTAATTCCACAGACATTAGGTTTACAAGAAAATTCATCTCATAAATGACTCCTCACCATCCCAAGATAAACTCTTTACCTTTTCCAATTTCTTTTCAGGAATGTGGCAATGAAAAAAAATATTTTTTTTTTATACTAGTAAGAAGGATTGCAGATAACCATAGGCCATTTTGTGAAAAATAACTGTCCTCTGAAAGAGTTTGTACAGAATTCAAAGCAATCAAACATATAGTTAATAGGGAAACTGAAAATAGAAACACTGCATTATCTAAATAGCAATTTCCAAATTCAAGAGAAACATATTCAGAATTTTATACAACCTGGTTGGGCTCCGAGTTCAATCACATGCAACTTAGAGGCAATCTGTCCAGCATTAGTGGTCTTCGAGGCAAAACAAACAAGAGTAGAGGGGTTTTCTTTTCCAGCAGCCTGTTAGTGATATAAGAGGTAGGTTCAAATGGAATATCATAAAAAGATACACTAGAACATGCAAGCGAATTAAAGAAAGGAACGAATTTAATAATCAGACCTTAAATGATGCAAAAGATGCAGCATGTGCTTCAAGTGCCTGGCTGCGCTGCTGTTCCACTGAAAAAAGCTGCATATGTCCTTTCACCAGTTGGGGTCTCTGCAGCCAAGATTGCATGGGATAATGAGACACAAGATTGAAATTACTGCACTTAGTAGAGCAACCAAAGCACATAAAAACAAAGAAAAGAATTGGATGTCAAAGTAGGAAGAAAAGGTTATGGAAGGAAGCAGAAGAAGGGAAAACAGCATGCAGACAAAATTACAGGTCAATGTCTGATAGAAAAAATTATAGCAGAATAAAAAGAATATGGTATGTAGCTTTCCAGATTCAAGCAAGAATATTAAGAAGCCTATACCATCTACATATCAGAAGATACCAATAAATCGAATGGCCAGTGAAGTTCTTTTAGCTGACTCGTGGCTTATCTATGTCATACAAATTACAAACCACAATTCAGTACATATTACCACTGAATGTCTAATAAAATCCAGAATTTTGATAGAGAAGATATTAGATTTTGATCAGCCCAAGCTTCTATTTCACGCAAAATGTCAAAATTCTATAATTACTTGACCAAAATTGTCAAAATTCATCAAAGTCATGAACTACCTTTGTGATAATTACAAACAGCAAAAGATAACATTGACAAAAGGAAACTTTTAACAAATTTAATTCAGCTTAATCAGATGTAACCTCAGGAGCTCCAGGTGCAATTCCAATGAGAACAAGCCATTTTTCTGAAGGGTCACAACGATAATTGATGATTTGATTGTTTGTTAAATTAGCTGCCCTATCGAACATCTTGACAGGCTCACCTTCACCTGAATATGAAGAAAAATAATATTAGATTGCATAACTCACCATAAAACAACAATGGATAACTAATTTGGTTCATTGGAATGATTCATTTGGCAGATGAGGTTTACCTTCTATTGACCAATGATAGACCGAAGTTTGTGTAACTATTCCCAACATTTTCGGGTTAATCCATTTCCAGAAGACAACCTGCAGGTGCTCAAATTGAATAAAGAGTTCAGCCCCCCAAAAATTAGAAACCAAAAGAAATAGAGAAAGGTAGCCAGGGTAAAAAAAGAGCATTTATATTCATCGTAGTTTTACCTGCTCAGGCATCTGGTGAGATTTTATTTTAGTCTTCTGATCAATATTGAAAATCTGAAGATGATCCTGTGTGGATCCCTGTAATTGTGCTGCAAAGCCCCAAAGGTAATCTAAGTTTACAATTTAAAACAGAGTCGACAGTATGACAGTAAAAATCTCAAAGAGCCTCTAATAACCAAAAGTAAGTGTTGCATTTGCTTACACCAAAAGTCTACTAAAAACCCCAAAAGACATATTTTCATTTACCGAGACCCTAGTGGCCAATGTAAAGAAGAATTAGTTTTCTCCTTCTGTCACCTAATTGGACTAGCAATCAAGTAGTTGCTTGCATAACAACAGATCACTGTAATGACAATTTTAATCTGCATACCAGAAAATTTTGATCTACATTTGATGATGTGTTGGGAGGTCAAAGAGCACAGAGCTACAAAAAGTTGAGAAACAAAGTTTCTAATGTATAGTTTGTTACTACTCTGCTTATTCTTGTCTCTCTTTTTTTCACCTCTTGTTTCTTAGATGAAAACTTCACCAATTGCTTCTTGGTCACATAAAACAAAAATCCTGTGGATTATTCATTATAGTCAAAATGATGCACTGGAAAAAAAGAATTCCCCCTTTTGTTAGGACAAACTATGTACAAGCCCAAAGATCAAAAGCCAAAAAGTCCTTAAATAAGATAGAATATCAGTACCTAATACTTTTGAAAATAAATATTAGATCTTTTAAATCAGTAAAATTACAGCACGACCAATATTATAACAAGGATTTAAAACCAATCCTTTCCTGATGTTGGTCCAACTTTGGAAATGGTATGGTGCCTTGGTACTAAACAACAGTGTACACCACCATACTGTTGAAAAGATAAAACTAAAGAACATTCCAATGTCATTTTAATTCAGTATGGTCGGAATACTGCACACTGGTATGCAGTTGGACAGGAAATACTGGTCAGTATATTTGGTGCAGGCTGTATAGTGGAATTATGTGTTTAAAAAGATGAACAACGTAATGGTCCTCTCAATAGAAGTCTATCTGGACAGGCGCTTGGCAATATGCTTTCCTTAAGGAGGTGACCAAGCAGCACAAGCCACCTCGAACCTTCTCAAGCAGGTTTAGTGAATTGGAAAACGGGTCAGATAAACATTTTCAGCGCCAAAAGTAGATTATCTTAGGTCATGGCCTCTACAATTTTTCCTGGATCCCATTCTGCACCAAAGCTGAAACACAAGAAAACAGGGAATCACAAACAAAAAAGAAAGAGGGTCACTCCATTAGCAAAAAGAGTTTTCCTATGCCAATAGCAAATGGAGGTGTAAAACCATAAGTTAGTTAGGACTAGGTTTTCTTGCCTTTTTCATGCGTTACCGATTCAAACTGCTTTTAATCTAGATTAAGTATAATTAGTGAAATTTTGATGTCTTAATTGGTTTCCTTATTTAAGGTCATCGATACATTAAGATTCGGGAAATCGATGGATTTTTCTTCAAATATCGAATGGTTTGGTATTTTGGATTGACTCAGGGAGATTAGATGTTTTCTTGGTTTCATAGACATAAATATGTCATATCACAATAAATGGAGCTACGATTGTAGATCATTTGTTATCCAAAAGCATAGTAGACATCAGTAGTCGAAACAACCTATAATTAGATAGTGTGCACCAATTCTACACCCAAGCAAATCCAACATACGCAATGACATGCATTAAGTAAAAGATTTAAGCTTATGAAAATAAATGGATACAGTCGAAGCTGCAGGAACACATCAGAGCTACAGTGTATAATTAACTAAGTACATGATGTTGGGTCCAGCCCATAGGTGGGCTTGGACTGGACGATTTGGGCATTGAACCCAAATCTGATCTATTAAACAAAAGGAAAAGGTAGAAAAGGGAAGTGGAGACATGCGCAACGTGAAAGATGTGCGAATGAATTGTGGAAACAGTGGCGGCACAGAAAAAGAACAGAGAGAGGAGGGAGAAAGCTAAGGTTTGGAGGCTTTTACTAGACGATCAAGTGGCAAAACTTCATCGGTTTTAGCCAAAATTTTGTGTAGAGAATTCTTGCAATAAGCTCTACAATCCTAACGGTGCCGATCTACGATTTGTCCTCTCTGATGTGCTTTTCTGATATATCCACTTGGTAAGATCTAAACTTTTTCTTTGATAAAATCCATTTATGGTGATAATGATTTGTTATTGTTAAACCAATATATGTGTTCTTGATATTATTGTGATCCTCTAGTTATTATACAGAAAACTTATTGAAAATCTATTATCATTATTAGTGATAGTGGAGGTTTGAAATGGACTATGGTCCCATAATTTTTCCCGCGTTAGGTATTTCACGTGAAAGTTTGGTGTCTCACTTTGTGATTAATTCATTGTTCTACTGTTTATGCTGCTCTAGTTTTTTTTTTTTTGTAACAAATTAGTAATTTGGTGAGGAGCCCAATTTGATATACAAAGAAAAATTTATTCTGCTACAATAGTTTTTCCAGAGTAGTGGAAGGGAAAATGATCAAATCGAATTATAGATAAAAATATGAAGCTAGCAGAAAATCAGGCAAATAACAGCAACCGTATGAACTACACCCTAAATATCTTAAACAAGAAGGAGATCATTTAAAAGAACAAAAACCTTTCAGAGCGAGGATCTTGGCATTGGGATTCATCAAAGCCGAGTCTGCCGTGATCGGCCTCCTCAACGGCTGCATGGGCATGCTCATGTCGATGATAACCAAGCTGTTCTGCGGAGCCGTCTCTCTGACGCATATGTACTTGTCCGATTCCATGGTCACATGCGTAAAGGTGACGAACTGAGGGTTGATTCCGAGACTGGGGAGCTGACATCAAAATGAAACACCCGTCAGAGAGAACGATACGGATCAAAGCAGATCCAAGAACTTCCTTGAGAAGGGCACGTCGAGTAGCATAATTCAGCATCGACATGTTCCAGAAGACTGAATCATGACTAAATCAAAATCAAGAAACCGGCCAAACCCAAACTTGAGTATAACAATCCGAGTGAAGAAGATATGCGAAGGGGAGGAATCGGAAGAGGGGTGGGGCTCAGTTTACCCACCGTGAGGACTTCCCGCATGGCGATGGGAGCGTTGGCCGAAGCCATGGTGATCGGGTCGGGGGCTTCAGGCGAAGACCGAAAGAACCCTCGCGGGCACTCCTCCGGAGCAAAAGCGAAAACGATGAGCGAGGAGGAGGAGGAGGAGGTGACGGCAAGAAAAGTAATTTCGATCAATAAAGCACTGCTTAAAATGGTGAAGAAAATAAATTAAAAGAAAGGAAAAGACAGGAAGCCGAAGACTAAGGCGACGACGAATGCATCGGATTTATTAGAAATGGAATTGTCAAGCTTGGAGCGGAAGCGACTTTTGAATCCATCATGACGACCGCACGAATCGACCAGAGCGAGCGAGCGAGCGAGCGGTCCTGATTTCATCTTGCGATCGCGACTATGACCGAGTGTCCTGCAATTGTGATGCGACGTCGTCGTGTGGGAGTTGGGAGCGCGGCTCAGACAGGGACCAGCAAGACGCCTCCCTTGGCTTCTACCGAAAGCTACCCATAAATTTCATCATATTCATCGTTCAACCGCGATGCTTTTGATTCATGTTACTTAATTGACCGGAGAGTCACGGACATCGAAGGGAATCCCGACGCCTGTCATCGCTGGCGGAGGATGCGAATGACGGAGCATTCTTTGGGTCCCATTGCTGAGCCGTGGACCCCATCCGACTGTTGGACCTTTTCCTCCATTAGCGTGGGACCTGCACGGTACGGTCTTCCAGGCCGTCCATTGGCAAGGCGCCAGCCTGATAGCGTTCTGACGCTCTCTGGTCATCCGGTGCCTATGGACGGTTATGATACGAAGAATCATCAACTATTAATGTTAAATAACGAAACGAGTTAATGTGATTAGCACTTTATCATTTATAAACGACTGAATTAGTTAGTTAATTTAGTTAATAAAGACTTCAATGAATTATCGTACTCACTTATCCTTCAATAAATTGTTTACACGTGTCTCGAGGTTGTAGGATAAATAACATAGGCACCACTACCGCACCTTTATCTCCTAGTTGTCATTTAATATGATTCTCCGATCACAAGTCGGAGCCTCGAAACAGTGCACGAACAGTAGCTTAAAGACCTTTTTTTTTTTCTTTCTTCCCAACATTACGGCTAATGATATTTCTTTTATCAAGCTCTGTAAAAAAATATGCCTTCTTCAATAATTAAAAAAATCAAATTGGCAAGGGAGATAGAGAGAAACTGTGTACATCATTGGCGTGGGCGGGCAGAGAGGAGCCGGGCGTAGAGAATTTGGTTCCAGGTATCGGGCAGGCCGGGCACGCACCAGTGGATGCAGTCGGCGAACTCGGCCGGCTTAGCCTGCTGCTCCGGCGTCAGCAGCTCCCCCTGCCGCACCGTGTACACCGACGTGTGGGCGTCCTTGCGGTACTCCGACATGGTCGTGATGTCGATGAAGGTGATGGGCACCCGCGCCGTCGATCCCGTCACGTTCTTCGCCACCGCGAACAAGTTCTTGTCCATTCCGAGACGCACTCCGGTCATGTTCTGTATCGGCATCGTCTCCTTGGCACACTTGATCCCATCTGGGTTGCCCCAGTACGTGCTCCTGCGTATTAGCAAAATCCAAGAAAATATCAAGATCAACATGAGATACAGAGTGGAAAGCAATGGCTGAAAGATGTGCAATGCTGAACCAGAAAGTCCAAAGACGCATGACGGCTTCAATCATGACACCACCATGGCTCTCAGCTGCGTGAATGATGAAGCAAGCTTTCAGCAAAGTGCTAACGAGGTGTGACAATCATACGCAACACGAGGAATTCTACCTTGAGGGGCTAATATGTTGAAAGGCTAAGCCAATCTGAACACATATTCTAAATACTGATGATCAATCCAAAAAATTCCTATTTTGCATTCAACAATTTAGCCTCTTATATGTGAATTATGTGGTTACTTGAAGAGTTCAGATTGTCATGATCTAATCCAATAGTATAACTGATCCAAAAAATTTTACGATAAAGTAATCATAGTCAATGATAGTAATATCAAGATCCAAATATAATCCAAAATCAAGCTAGAGAATGATACATGTGAGGTCCAACATAATAGTGCAAACGCCGTGTTGTACACCCTCAATGTTAAATCGTCTCGTAATATTTATCACGATTCAATCCCATGAGATATATAATTCATTAACTTATTGAGTATGTAACTAAAATACTTAACCCTAAGTTGATGATAGTATGCTCACCATATTTATCACGATTTAATCCCATGAGATATCTAATTCATTAACTTATTAAGTCTATACCCAGAATACTGAGCCCTAAATTGATGATAGTACACTCACAATGTTTATTTACTTCTTTCCGACTTCTAAATGCCTTCTATATGATAAGAACTTCAATTCTACTCTACTGTCCATGTGAATTCAACTATTTCTTTATGCAGGATTTCCTATCATGAGACAGACATTCTTCCTACCAAAGACTTTGCTTGCTCACCACACTACCGAATGCTAAAACTGATATGTTCAGAGAATGTCACATTATTTATTAGACCATAGGAAAACATCAGAATAATTATCTTGCAAGATATAGCTTGTATTAAAAATTTTGTGTGTCCACTGAGATCAATTATATATCTCTGTTTCCATGGGGTTAGGCAGGACAACTGGCTCACATTGTGATTGCCAAACAACATTAAATATTGGCTTAGAACTTCCTGCCCTATGCCACAGTTAAACAGCTAAGCCACATTTAATGGTAAACGGGCCTAATTCTTGAACCAGACATACAAAACAGGAATATGATTTAGATGGAGATGCACAGAGATGAGTGGTGAATGGGAGCAGATGACATGCTTTAGTAGATCAGATCAGTAGTGTAATCGATGCCAATAGACCAAATAAGAGCTCAAACAAAGAGTTTGAAGTGCTTGATTACCTGCTGTGGAGAGGAGACATGCTCATGAAGAACACCGACGACCTGTTGGGATCCAAGTTCTGATCCACCCAATTTGACAGAGTCCTCAGAACTCGCTCGTACGCTTCCCGTCTCACGATCTCATCATGCTCCGTCCAGTTCTTGGCCCCCGGACGCCTGCTTGAACAAACGATTGGTGTGAGCACATTAATCTAAATGCGGTTCCAACAGTCGCAAGTGCGGCCGACCGGCTGCTGCTACTCACAGCACTTTTATCTTTGGGGTGTTCATCCACCAGATGTAGGTGTCGAACACCAGCACATCCGCCCCCTTCCAGTGCACCGCATGCTTCTCGATCGAATCGGCCTTGATGATCCTCACCGCGATGCTGTGGATCTCGGGGTCGTCGGAGTTCGACTCCACCAGGAACGGTGCCCAGTAGAACTCGATCGACGCGTCGTAGTCCTGCGGAGAGGAATCGCCATCGTTAGCTAGCCGATCGCAAGCTTTGATGCCATGGGATGGTTGGAGTAGTACCTCTACCGTGAAGATCGAACGGGAGCCGTCGACCCTGCGGCTCCACCCCTCCGGCGGTAGCGCCGTCTGCAGCAGGCAGACGAAGGACTCCCACTGGTTCCGGTTCATCGAGTCGCCGACGAACATCATCCGCTTCCCCCCCAGCCTCTCCAGCAGCAGCCTCGCGTCGAATCTGGCGAATCAAGAATTTCTAACCCGCCATTAGCTCAGATCGAGTGAGAGGTCAAGAAACTGAGACAAGCAGGTAAGGAAAGGTGTTCCGCGGACTGACTTGGGCAAGGAGCAGCCCTTGGGCTGCCACCGCCACTTCTGGTACATGGCCTCCCGGCGGCCGTTATTCAGGCACGACACCTGCTCCGACAGGAACTGGCACTGATCCTCCCGGTAGAGCGGATAGTTCACATCGTCGAACACCCACTCGCCATCCGACAGATCGCACGACTCCGGCACGCTGACGACCGATCTGGCGCTCTTCTCGTCTCTCTTCTTCCTAGGCTTCTTTTTCTCAGCCATAGGTTGTCGGTGGATGGTGGAGTCATTGCTACCACGGGCGAGGTCGTAACCCCGGGCTTTGAATCGCGACAAAGAGTACTCGGCGGCGATGGACCTGATGTCCTCGCTGTACATCACCACCAAGGCAAAGACGAAGATGGTCACGACGACGACGACGACGGGGAGGTGGCCGCCTTTTCTGATGTAGGATCCGGCGAGCTTGGCGACCGCGAACGGCGACTCCGAAGGCGGGGATTTCCGGCGAGGGGAGTGCATGATGCTCTTGCCAGGGGTCGGATCTGGAGATCGGAGATGGGTGGGTGGATGGGTAGTGGCCTGGAGCTGGAGTGAAGAAAGCTCTCGATTTATGTGTTGGTGAGCCACAGATGGGGGAGGAATTGATCCTAATCGGACAGCGATTGGTCTCTGGACTTGCTTGGAATGGTGGAGTCGGCCATTACTAGAAGGCATCAGTGAAGGAAGCAACCAAACCACTTCTTTTAGGGGAAGCACGGGTTGGAGATCAACCAGCTTTGCCAAGGTTTTCTCACTCGATCGACTCCGGCTGTGCCGCACGAATCATGAGAAGTGTGTTTACTACGAACAGTACCGTTCTGTTGATGAACTTCCATCAACTTCATCCATCCATTTCATGATATATCTCAACGGGGACTCGCCATCAGATGAGTTGTTGGCCACAGTAGAATCCCAGAAAAAAATCAATTTTTGGGATTTATCCATCAGAACTCTCGCGAAACAACGAGAGGGCGTCGGGCATTCTGATCATCCCTTTCGATGATCACGAATCATGGAGCATCGAAAGAATTAGGATCTACCACTCGTTTCGTTTTCGTACTTTTACATAAGCGCTGTACCACTTTTCGATTTATATTGTCGGAATAATATATCGCGACATATGAAGATGATGAGTTGATATAACGGTATCCGTATAAAGATATTAGGAGTTTTGATATGAGGATATCAATATAGTATGAGGTCATGTGTTAGCATATGATAGGCACTTAAAATCCTCACTCTTCACACACAGTGAAAAAAGAAAAAATCATAACTATTTATAATTACGCTAGAAGAAGAATACTATTTTTTGAAAATTGTTCTTCAAACATTATTCTTGAGTAAATGAAATATGAAGAAAGTGATGAATTTATCAAAATAACTAAAATTATAGGGAATATTCCTATACCAATCGCAATCCGTTAATTGGCAACTATCAAGAAGCTGACGTGAGGACAACGATACATCCACCTGACATAGAAGATGATTAGGTTGACAGTCGATACATCCTCGATCGTCCTTTGCTAATGTAATGTCATGGCTCGATGTCGTACTATGGAAGATCATACCAATCAACCCACACCTCAAGAGATTGTATCAGTCGAACCGCATCGCGGGGGATTATACTGAATGAGTGTCTACTTGAATGTGATACAAAAGGATGTATGGGTAGTTCCTATCAATCGTGGTCCCACCTTAAAAGCTTCATAAGTATAAAAATCAGTTTTTGATGCTTAAACAAGGATCGGATTTTGAATCACAAAAAGACTATAGTCTCGACTCAAAGCTAATCCAAACGTCGAAGAAATTGAATCGAAAACCCTCACTCAACAATAACCTATTATGCATGACGTTAAAAAGATCAAGTTACTCAAACCTCATCTCAAGACAATCATTGAAGTTCAGATACCACCTTCGAGCAACCCACGCTAGCTTTTATTCAACTATTGTCTCCCAACTCACCCACGGAGGACCTTCCATGGCAAAAAGTTACTAACAACCATTAAAGAAAGAAAGAAAAATGTATTAAGACTTATGTTAATCCCCATCGGTATGGCAGCGACATCAGTCTTCTTTGGATGTCGGATGTATATGAATCGCATAAAGATATACATATAAATTTGTCATGTTCCAAGTCATGTTTGAATTTTGAACCTGATGTACCTATTTAGGTTGCACATTCCATCATGGTGGTTGCGTGTAGGTATCCATCGAACAAACGGCCATAGATTAGCATTAAGCCATAGTGTCCTATGCTTCTAAGATAGTGTTGACGTTTCTGCTTCAAACTCAGTTACGTAAAAGTTCTTTGATATGTCTTCAAAGTGAAAGTGTGAAGCTCTCGAAGAGATCATCTAAGATGTCACCTATATAAAAATCAAAGCCGAGAGAGATTATCCGAGTCGATTCATCCGATACATAGATTAGTAACTTGAGATAGATGAATGTAATTATTGATAATAAAATTAAACCTCATGTTAAAAATGAGTTTGATAGTGAAGGAAAATTATATTTTATGAAATATTCTTCCAAGATAACTTTTAATTATCTTTAACAATCTCAATTTGATTTTTTTTCACATAGGCGATAATGATGGAAACAACTTATAATTATCAAATCTAGAGATAATTTTTATCTTTCTTTTAGCTTTGACATCATGTGAATGACATATCATATGGTAGTTGATCGATAATATCTTTATATCACTTATTCTTGTGTGTAAATAATAGTTCATTATTGGAAAGTGTAGAGTTGATATTTCTAAGTGTTTGTTCTGCATGTATTTATTGTTGGCAAACGTTCAAACCTGTTGTTGTCTTCCATTTGCAATTTGTAGCATGATGATCTTTCTCTGGTAATACGTACATGTCCAGTTTTAGCTGCATGGAAACAGGGAGCTGTAGGGGAACCGCTAGAATTAGGACCATTTGGACACCACATGATGTTGAGAGCACACAGGCAAAGTTACCCTAACATAACAGGAATAGTGACATCAATGGTGCACAGCAGATTGGATGTCTGCAAGCCCCTCTCTCTCTCTCTCTCTCTCTCTCATCACATGAAAAAACACAGGCAAAGCTAAGCTAACATGAACAGTGACAGGCAATGAAGAACAGTAGAATGGATGCCTGTGATCCTCTCTCTCTCTCTCCATTAGTAGCTGAGGACAACCAACTGTGGATGCAGTAAGAGATACTGAAGATAAGCAGGCAAATTTTAGAAACAAATGATCTCACTGATGCATCAAACATTTTGCACACACAATCAACAAAACCTGTCCTCGCAATCTGATCAGGTTCCAGTAGATGATTCATGCACAACATGTGAGCATTGGATTCCCCTCCTCTATTCCAGTCATTTACTCACTCTAAGCAATGTCATGGACAACATTTATTGTCTGGAAGTGTATGGATCACTATCTTCTGCGAACAGTGGGCCAAGTTCTATTGTTCATGTGCTTCCCACTAATGGCTGTCAAAGCAAATCAGTCGGAAGAGATAGATAGCTCATCGAATGAAGAGTGCTTCCTGCACCAAAAACGGCACTATTCCTACTGAGACCTCTCTCCCCCTCCCTTAAAGAAGAGGAAGAAGAAGAAATCTCGCACCTCTTTTATCCTTTCTTTCTCACCTTACCGTCTCGCTCCGGTGAATGCTCTGCAACTTGGCGCCGAATCCATCGGCAGATATGCTCATGGTCAGCTGCATTTGCTCCTGCTGAGGGTCTTCCAGTTGATGAGAAGGGACTGCATTTTGTTTGCTCCTGTGAATCTTTAATTCCCATTCAGAAGCTCCGCAGAAGGAAGCAGAGGAAAGTTTTAGGTCACTCGGGATACGACTGGAAACCGACAGACAAGGAGGCCGAGAGAAGTCTTCAACAGGACGGTCTCCATCTCCATGCCCTCTCTCGCAGACCTCGAACCCTGCCGGGTGGAGGAGGAGGTCATTGGAGTACCATTGCAACTTCGGGTTCGGGTCGATTGACCCGGTCTTTAACGAACCTTTCTTTTGCTATAGGATTCGGATCCGGTAAGCGGGTCGTTTACACCCGTTGGGCTAAAGCTCCGATTCGAGGGTGTCGATAAATGATAGAGGCGCCGCAGGCACGTGTGATGGTCGCGACCATGGCGTCCTCCCCTCACAGCCTCTTCTCCGCGCTCCGATCCCTACCATCTCCCCCTCCTCCTCGTTCCCGTTCTCTCAAAACCTTCGCGCTTGTGTCCTCTCCTTCCTCTTCTTGTTTCGCTTCCGTTTCTTGTATTTATCGCCCATCAGGCCTGCGGTTCCCCTTGACCCCTCCGAAGAAAAGGGCGCTCCGCCGGGCCTCTGCCTCCACCCCCTTCGTCGCCGCCGCACTCGGGAAGCTCTCGGACGCGGAGCTTGTTCCGGTTCCGAAGGGCCCTGGAGAGTTGGACGGCAAATTCCCCTCCGGCGCCGGTGTCTACGGGGTCTACGATAAGGAAGGGGATCTCCAGTTCATCGGGATATCGCGCGATATTGCGAGCAGCATCGCCAGCCACTCAAAGTTCGTCCCCGATCTGTGCCATTCGGTGAAGGTAATCCCTCGAAAAGCTGGAACCAATCGAAGTAATTTGGGTCCAAAACCGGATTCTTTAAGAAAAATTACTCTTTGATTAGATTTTCACAAAATCGAATTCTGATTCGTAATAAAAATATCAAAATCGTATCTTTTTGAAAAGATTCCACGCGTGGATCGCCTTTAATCGCATACTTCTGTGTCTTCTTTCACCATCTTTGAATTCTTCTGTGAATCCAAAACCATAAAAGAAATGAACTCGTCGATGACCGACTTTGTACTTGGGGATTACGACACCAACACGACTTGTTTCACTTGATCTGCCCCTCGATAAGTTTTAACTGAATCCCCCAGTGCAACAGTTGATGATTATAACTGTTGGATCTTTGTACGATGAATGTGCTTTCAGGTCTGTGTCAATGCTTCATAGGGAAAGTATAAGTTGATCTAGTGAGCTTGGTGAAACTTGATTCTTGGAAATTGGTGGCGTTGTCATTCTCAAATCAGTCAACCAAGAAAAGGATAGCATTTTGTGATTTATTATTCTCTGAAGGTATATTAGGCATTCACTTAAATGCCAATGGAAACATATTAGTTAGTTCTAAAACTTTCTTAAAGACGCATCAGTAATGTTATGCCAAGTGAGAAGCTAAAAATTTTTAATTAGATCATGCAAGTCCCTTTTAGTGTTTAATGATTCTGTATAATTTTTTATGATAGTTGACCTATCGGTCCTAGAATTTGGAGTTCTTCTAAATGATGGTATGTTGGAACTATCCAAGAAAAACTCCGAGTTTGGAGTTGGAATTATACTAGAAAATGACTTCTGCGAGAGTTCTGTAGGGTTAATCAAGAAAGGCTTTGTGGAATTTGTGATGTTACAACACTTTACCAGCAAAAGTGTATTCGAGCCTAAGCAAGGTTTGGATAATCTAAACTGAACGGCAAGGTTTACGTTATATTTCAGCATTCAATATTCTGTGGATTCTGCCCCACAGTATGATGCAAGATGGCCGCACAATAATTCTCGCAGCGACCATCCATTTTTCTTTAGTGATTCATTCTTTCCTCTTTAATTATCAGCTTTCTACCTTCAATCAAGGTAAACTTAATAGCTAACCCGTTTTAGTTGCAATGACATCGAGATCCATTGACAATCCTAACTACTTGAAATACTGACCCATTTGATATTTTTGTTTCAGAACTGTTTTTCCCTTTCTTCTTCTAGCAAAACCTTAAGATTTCAGTTTGCTGTAGTATTACTGAACACACCCTTATCTAATTATTTCTCGATAAGACCCAACGGTATTAGAAACAACTTGTTTGGGTCATAATAGCTTCTTCCAGTGTGAAGTCATTGTCTCCAAGGGATCTTCTCACAGTATCGCATCCTACCAAGAAATATGTACCGGACAATTTTCAAGCTCTATATCCCTTCTTAGTATTTCCAAGCAAGGATTCTTTGGTTTTCCTTGCATCTCCTAGCACTTTAATTTGAATTGACCAGTTTGATCCTGGTAGTTCATTGATGCATTTACACATTTTTTTCATACTTGTTCGAATATGTTCAAACAATTATTACTCATATTATAAATGATACTGATACGCAATATCATATTATGTGATAACATCTGATGTTTTTCTAAAGCATATATAGTTAACTAACTCTTTGAACATTTGCTTCCTAACTGCTTAACATTTGAACATCTTTCATGATTCATTGGAACAAAAGTAGTTGAGGAACTGCATTTGGTTGAATAACCTCATCATCTTGGTCAAAGAGATTCTGTGTTGAATGAATCAATCCTCATGATCTTGCCCTTATGTGAAATGTTGAATTATGTCACACGAACAACACCGTTATGCTTTCTTGTACCTTCTATATAAACTATAAACTTCACAGATATTCTGAAAGTATTTATTCAAGAAACTTCCGTAGACCTATGGTTAAGCATATCTTATAGAGAAAGCATTCAATTGCCACAGATAAGGGAGTAGGAAAGAACGACGGGACACCTTATGTATTGCTTCTAGTTCCATGCTGTGGATTTACAATAGGACTGCAAGTATGGAACTCAAAGTTAAAAGGTTATTTCATATTAGAGATTATATGAACAGAACATAGAGCAAAGATTCCAAGCATACTTTGACCAGTAATTTCCTTAACTCTTATCATTGCAGGTAAGCCTAATTGATGAGGTTGAACCGGACCGAACCGTTCTAACCAACGCTTGGAAATCATGGATGGAAGAGCATATCTCGGCCACCGGGAAAGTCCCACCGGGGAATGAATCTGGAAACAACACATGGGTCAGGCGGCCGCAGAAAAAGCCAGATCTACGGCTGATGCCTGGTCGCAACGTTCAGCTGACTGTCCCTCTGGAGCAGCTCATCGATCGGCTCGTGAAGGAAAAGAAGGTAGTTGCATTCATCAAAGGATCAAGGAGTGCTCCGCTCTGTGGTTTCTCTCAAAGGGTGATCGGAATATTGGAGGCTCACGGCATCGACTACGAATCTGTTGATGTGCTGGACGAGGAGTACAACTATGGGTTGAGGGAGGCGCTGAAGAGCTACAGCAATTGGCCCACATTCCCGCAGGTCTTTGCCAACGGAGAGCTTGTAGGTGGATGTGATATCATTTCCTCCATGGCAGAGACAGGTGAGCTTGCTTCACTTCTCCAGAAGTAAGCCAATCATGTTATTTGATCTTGTCATATCGAGAAACCATTAAAGGTAGAGAGATATTTGAAGATTCCTGAATTGTAACTTGCAAGAGTTGTTGTGATCGAGCCTTTCTACAGCCATGTGTCTTCTTCTTCCCAAAGAACACCCCATAAACAGGCGGATAACAAGGGAACAGTTGGCCTTAGTTTATGCATGCAGACACGTCCCAAAGGCTGCTGCTCCACACGATGCAATGCATCTGAAACATGCATGTCGGTGAAGCACGAGATCATCACCGAAATCTTTGAAGCGTGCGTTCGTACCTTTCAAACTACAAACATCACGTAGCCGCCTTACAATCAATTCTAATTGAGAGTCTTCTAAATGCCGTGTGCAATTTGTTAACAGGGAAATATGCTGCAAAAGATCACAACGTTAGGAAAATGGCATCTAATTGATTGCGACTAAAAATCCTCAAGCCAAAATTTTCATGATATCGTATCATAAATGCAGCAGTTAAGCATAATACGTTTGAAGTATGCAACCGGTTGGGAAAACTAAGCTTTCCCTCCGAATGGCTTCCTCCTCGGCCTCCTCCTCCGACGCCGTCAAACCAATCCCTCGCCAGCTCCCTTCCCGCTGACGCCGATGCTGCCCTCCCCCGCCTCCTCCACCAACTCCTCGCCGCCCGGACCCTCTCCCGTCCCTCGCCGCCCCCTGCGTCCTGATTTCTCGCCTGTTATATACTTAGATCAGCCCCCGCCAAGTGACCTTCTCCGCGCCGCGTCCGACTTCGGGTTCTTCCACCTTGCCCGCCACGGCGTCCCCTCCGCCCTCGCCGAATCGCAGTCCTTCCTCCGATCTGACTGGCTTCCGGTCAACAATCTTCTATCCCTCGGCTTCCACCCTGAGGATCTCGATCACGATGATCAAGATCGGATTTTGATGTTGGATACCGGTGGAAGGGTGGACGGAGACGGGTTTGCATCTCTTCCGGCGTTGCTAGAGTTTGGTAAATGCTTGGAGAAGGTGGGATTAGGGGTGGTAGATATGCTGTCCTCCATGATAGAGGGGTTCTGCAAAAACCCCTTTGAGAAGCGGAGTTATACACCAAGGTGTTTGATATGGATCTCTTCTTACGACATTGACATAAATACTGATAAAACTGGCTATCAAATGAGGAAAAGCAAGTGTTATCCATATGTGTTCAGTATGAGATGAACTGGTGGAAGCAGCCATATCTTGCTATTGGTGACTCGGGTGAGCTGATTTCTATAGCTCCTGTTGCAGATTCAATCCTTGTCACACTCGGAGACATTGCACAGGTGAGTTGTTTGATCCCATTCTGCTACAGGTAACTGTGACAAATCTGAAATTGAATTGAATGCTTTTTGGATGCGTATGACAATAGTGTAGAACTTATGTTCTGTCGCACGTCGAAAACTTAAATACATTAACTTAAATACATTAATATGTCCCATGAAGGATTTTCTTCGATAGAATAGAGAGATTTTTGAATAATTTAACGTAATTTCGTGTGCCGTTGATGATGTAGCGCAAGATATTGGCAGTGCAAGATTGTAGCGTACACCTTCGACTAGTCTCATGCCCATTTGTTAGATTAACCATATGCATTTTTAGCTTAGTTTGATCAAACCTGTTGAGCAAAACTTTGAAGGTATGATACAATTGCTAAGTCCAAAGTGCATCCCAATCCATATATATAATTGCTGTAATGATTTGCTTGTGGGAAGGTTTGGAGCAATGCAAGGTTCAAGAGAGTGAGAAGCAGACCTCAGCCAACTTCCTTGCCTTTTGATGGCTGTGATGGCACCGCACCGGCTGCACATCCTTGACAGTGCTGGTGACCGTGCCACTTGATACTGTTATCTCCCCGCTGTTGCCTTCAGCAGCGGAGGGCTGTGGTGCTGGTGATGCCGATGAAGGTGATGAAGACATTGGAAGAAGGTTTCATGCCTTCTGCTCGGAAGAATACGCATGGAGAATTTATCGCGAGCGCCTCCTCCACGAAGATCCACTGTTGAGATACCGGAGTTAGCATCATCCTAATGTTTCATTTGTCTTCTACATAGGTTCGATCAAGTTTTATTTTAGGAAAAATATTTACCCAATAAACGAAATAAACTTAAATCAATTTCGATATATATCGGATTGACGATCAAATTCGATAGTAAGACTGATTATTAGCCCACAAACATTTGAGGCCCATTAAGAGCCCAATATAATTGCTTCTGGCGAAACCCCTCGCTGAGGTAGGTGAAGGAAGTCGTGCGCCGATCGAGTCGGAGACGAAGAGGAAGGGCAGTGGGGTGGGTGTAGAATAGAGTAGAGATGGGTTCTCGTCCCCCTCCTCGGAAGTGCGAGGTCTGCCGCGAGGCGCAATCCAAGTACAAGTGCCCTAATTGCCTTGTCCCCTAGTAAGTTCGCATCATTCTCCGCTTGCCCCTTTTCTAGTCACAATGCATCGATTAGGAGAGTCATCGGTGGTTCTTATCTGTAGCGTAGGCTAAAAGATGTTAATTTATTAATGTTTTTTCTTTCTTTTTCTTCTTTTGTTCTTGGGTGATGATGATGATGTGGGCGAGTCGTTGGATGTGGTTTTATCTCCGAAGCTTTGATTATTTTTAGTTACCTTCAACTGTCACAGTAATTCCGAAAGGGTAAACTCTTTCGATGCTTGATTTCTCTCAACCGGAAGGTTATGCTATCTGCGCTGCATTGAGTTCATGGTAAGACATCGTTACCATCGTGTGGTTGTTGTTGGTTATGCTTGAACCTAAGGTGAGAGCAATCACAAGGTTGCAGAGTAACATGCCAAATTAATTGTCCCTAGGGGTAGAGTTAAATACGAGGCGGCAGATTTACTCCAATAAGAGACAACTTGCTATGTTGATTTAACTTTTTTGCTGCATGCTAAGAGAACAATGCAAGTCGGATCTAAACCTTTTGTGAGGCATTTATTCGAATAATCTATAACAGTGACTCTAGGATCATTTTCCTTCGGTTTATTATTTTCTTTGATACCTATCAAATTTTATACAGTTATTAATATAAATATTGCTTTTTTTGCATGCAGTTGTTCCTTGGCATGCTTCAAGAAACATAAAGGTACAAATGACTCAATATTTATTTACTTTGGATTTTCTGTTTTATCTCTGTGTTAATTGTTTCTGTTTGGATTCCTTAAAAAAAAATTTCGAGTCTTGTTGAAGAGTTCCTTTTGGGACCTTGTTGTTGTGGTAAAGTTTCTCTTTGCCTGCTAGAGTAAGATTATTTGTGTTAATTATCCCAAATAGCAGGAGCAGCATACTTTGGGTCACTCTTTTTTTTTTGAAAACTTCTATTTAGGTTTAATGAATATTGTGGATTATGAAAATTTATTATAGAGGTTTTGGTACTATGTAAACTACTAAAGAAAGCAGCAACTAATCGGGAAGATTGTAATTAGCTGGATATATCTTTTATAGGCATTCACCAAAGATTGTATATTAGCTGGATATGTCTTTCATATGTATTCATCAAATTTATGTTTGTACTACTTCTGCAACTATTTGTATTATATTTTGGTACCTGATACCGAACACATATATAGATCTGCATGAAAAGTTATTTTGAGAAAACTTAACAAATTTATGTATCTGGTTCATCTCAGGCATTCATTTGAAGTGTTGCTCTGGATACAATATTGGATGCACATAGACCATTTTACTAGAGACATTTGTTTAGTTGTTTCTCCTGTGTTCCCACTAACTTATGAGCCATAATTGTCTAGAAAACAAAAATCTAGCCTTTTGTTGTCTCATACGAAGTCGAGAAACTGTGGCAATGATTCCTTGAAGTAATGGTTTTGAGCCTTGACATTAGTTATGAGGTTGTGGTGCAGCATATATATTATAAAGACATACCATTGAGTTTGTGTTCTTCATGTGACTAAGTTTCTTTCTTATCTTACTGGTGCAGAAAATCCATGCAAAAAGCCATTGCCTTCAGTGGAAGAAACACGTAAGATTTCTGTTACTTCACAAGAAGTTTAGACATATATGATTTACATTGACAGTTGCAGTTTATCATTAAAATTTCTGTGTTAGGCAAAACACCTTTTTTATTACCTCTCTTTGTTGCTTTCGATGCATACATTTTTATCGAGGGTAATCTGATTTTTGATAATTTGACAACCTGTTGGATATGCTGTATTTGCTTGTTGGCTCATCTTGCTTACGTTCTTCTGTGTGCCAAAAACTTGTCATTTACAGATAACTTTGCTGTCATATATTTGTATTAAATTTTATCATTAATTCTGTAGATGTATATCACTTGTCAGTTGTCATGTGGCTCACCTTATACAGATATCCATGTCTCTGTCTTATGCAGCAAACTTGATGCTTCCTGAACGATCATATGAGGTCAATGATCCAAGTTGGGTTGTTGATAAAGAACGATTACAGTTGATAGGTAATGCCTATTTGTAAATCTCATTCAAATTCTTCTACTGTCATATTATATTGTTAATTCAGTTATCATGATTAATAATTATATTGTGACAGTTAGCATGCTTTTAGCTCTTTATTTAAGGTGGCTGTGTATCTTTATAAAAGCATTTCCATTAATGGGAGAGGAAATAAGTAATGGTGGACATAACAATCATGGAATCAATCTGAACAAAGTTTTGTAGAGAGGTCACTTTGTTTACTTGGTTATAGTAGAGGGAACATTTGTTGTGTTGTCTATGATTATCGAGTGTATGATCATTTTTGGTTGTTACGAACAAATAATTCATAGGACAATATGTAGTCTTCGTATGAAAATTTTGTAGTTTTTCTTCATTGTTTTTAAGCGAGTGGACATTCAAGATCAAGTTCTTGAGGGTTTGATTATTGCTTCTCTGTTGCATAACCATTTTAGGTTTCAATCTGCAATTTTTTTAATTAAAATATAACACTACTATCATAATACTAATTTCTTAGTTGCTGTGTGGTAGCTTACAGAATTTTTTTGGATTTTCTGGGTAGCCATGACTCAAACTGTCTAGACTGTAATCATTGGTTTTCTTATAAGAGTAGAAGCAAAACTGTGGTCTTCTTTGTCAAATTGATGATTTTGCCAACCAGGAAAGCTGCTTCGGTTAGCATCATACTTTTACCAGTGATATAAGTTCAGATGCCCTCTTCTGACTAGAATGATTAATTCTTTTAAAGTTGGATGTAATGAGTAAGCCTGTTAGTTGGGTTGCCTGATTCTTTTTGCTATGATTTGATATTCTGTGAGGTTCAGCTATTGTCTGGCACGAAATTTCTTTTACACTTGGTGTCCAAAATGTTGTCTTCCTTCCCTTTTCTGTATCTCATGAGTCCTAGTTTACTTATGACCCTTTGCATGCCAATTTTTGACTGGCAGCAAACTCAAGTGAAATACGAGAGGCCTTACGGAATGGAGACCTAAGGAGGATAATTCAGAAAATCGATGGCAGTGATGACCCAGAAGATGTAATTGTTCGCCACCATGAAATCACTATTGTTGTTCCTGTTCTAGTTGAACACTCGTTGACATTTTAATTAATTAATTATATATTGTTTATATCTAACCTTAATTCATTCTATAACATTTTACAGCAACTGACCAATGCCATGGAAGAGCAGATTTTTCATGATTTTACCGAAAAGGTACATCATACTTCCTAATATGCAATTATGAAATCTTTACCAATTCTTTCATTCATAGGATTTCAAATATTGAAAATGTTCTCATCATACATAGTACAGTAAATGTTTGATATTCCTTTATGCAGATCCTCTCCATTATAAGTCCACAAGAGTGACGCCGCATTCAGAACTGAGGCATGATGATCCTAATTGTAAGTCCTTTGGATTTGGTTACGATCAAGATATGAAGATCACCCATAACACTTTTGTTGTTAGTTTATAGCACTTAATATCTACGGATATTTATGGTGCACTTAAGCATGCTCCTCTGGTCTTGGTATTCTTTTTTGTTAGAAGGTACCTATTAACCCTGTCTTTTGCTGGTTATCTAAAGCTGCAATATTTTGAGTTTCCATGTCTTGGGAGTTTATTGTTGCTGACATAGTCACTCCCTATCTACAAGAAAAGGCAAAATCTTACATCCAGCTTCGGCTGGCTTCCAAATGCAACAACAGGGAGCCTATCAGGGAATAAATTGCAGCCACAGTTTCTTCATCCTCGACGAGGGGGCATGCGAATGCCACCATCACCGCGCGTGTGGCTGTGCCGGTTCATTCTTTCCCAGACCGATGCGTGTTGCACGTGCATTGAGAACGTGTCTTTCGTGGGCACAGCTGCTCTTGCTGACAGCCGGCGTTGCCATCTGTGCCATCTTGCACAGTATCGCCATGTCGATCACGTGGATAATGGACCATCCATGATTATATAGTGATACACACAGGTCCCCAGCAGCTTCCTCGACCTTGGAATCAATTAATCTTGTCACAAGCTACATAGAATCTTTTCGCCTTCTCCGTCCCGCGCGATGCCATGTTAGGCACGCATGCACGAGTGGGGGTTGGAACACTGCAAGCACAAGACAAAACAAGGAGGTGAATGGAGCAGTAAGCAACTCTCTTCGTGGTGGTGAATGGACGTTATGTCACATGGCCAGCCTCGATTACAGCATCTAAAGCTTTATTTACATCCAATACCCGCATTTAATTACTTGTAATCTTTTCATTTACGTCTTCTGATAACCTTAACAGGTTCATTACAATGTTTAAATTAAAGCCACTCAAGATCACATGTAATTTAGTCTCTATTTTTTAATGAATATTAGTGATAGTGGTAGGTCTGGAGATATCAAAACTTACAATATTATTAAGGTAGAATATGATTAACCGAGATGTGGAGGATCGAGAGTCGATCTTGATTTGAATTTGAGTCTGATCTATCTGACTCTTAAATTAATACATTAGAAAAAGAGTGATATAGGGTTCAAAAATTTTAGAATAAATTAGTATACTTAAATTATTTTATAGAGGGTTTGATAACCCTCTAGATTAAGTAGGGAGTTGATACCGTACAAATTATTTTGTGAGATTCTTAGATTTTTTTGAGTCAACGTGTTCACTATGTGTAAGGCTGACAGAATTATGTGGCATTTTGTTAATAGTCTTCCTAGAGAGTAGATCATTGATAGTTAATTATATATTACTCCTGTAATTAGTTATTTTTAGTATTTCGATCTTTACAATTTCAAAAGTTATATTGGAATCCCTATACCTATAAAAGTGAAATATTTAACATATAATGTCGACTCTATTAACGAAAATATCGTATATACTTAGTGATAAGTCGAAATAAAGCAAAATCAACATGTGTTTAATGGTAAATCCTATGATATTTTAGTCAACAGACGTAAAAAAAATTAAAGTTAAATATTTTACTTTCATAAATATAAAAAATTTAATATAATTTTTAAAAATATATTTTAATCGATCTAATTATGAATTATCTCATGTAATTATAAATTATATATAAAAAAATTTATAATTAGACCGACTAAAATGTACTATTAGAGTGTCGGCAAAAGAAGTCCACTTCGAGTCACGGTCGGGTTTAGTCGCAAATGGCTTGTCATGACAAAGACTGGTTGTCGTTTTAGTGAGAAATTCTCCAAATTGGTTGGTTCCGTGATGGCCGCGACAAACGATGGCCGGTGAGCTCGTTCCCATTAATGGGGGCGGTGTTCAGTGAGCGTGGAGCTCTTTTCCATCAATGGGAAGGTAGTTGTTCTTGCTCGATCTCAACATCTTTGATCTCGATGGCCTTACACGTAATGAAGAGCGACGGTTAACCCTTTTTAGGTTGCGTGTTTAATCGGTTCCATCAATGGGAAGTTGTCTCCTTGCACGATCTCAACTGTTTTATCTTGGTGGGCGTACATATAATGAAGAGCTGCAGTTAATCCTATTTAGGTTGCGTGTTTGATCAGATAATTGTTAGGGAGGATATTTCAATTAGATCATACATTCAACGTGTCTCATCAGGAGGCAATCTTCCGAGTTCCTTCCTACTTTCCTCGTAAGTATCAGAGAACAGATGCGCACACGATGATCTCTCGTGTTCCACCGAGGCCGGCGCGTTTTACTCGTGTCTCATGCCGCTTATCACCATCTGAATCAGCTTCACATCCACGTGAATAGAGAGCGAGAGAGAGAGAGAGAGAGAGAGAGAGAGAGAGACCATGGTTGAACGGCCATAAGTACGCAACGCAACCTTCAATACTCCACCACCCCCAAGCGAAGCAGCTAGCCGGCCATGAGGCTCTCCTACTCCTTCCCTCGTCCAAGAATCTCCCTCGTCTACATCTGGCTCTGGTCCACGGCCGTCCCTGCGCTCAAGAAGACGGTGGCGCCGACGAAGAAACAAAAGGTGGATGCATCGAACCCCGAGGAGTCGGCGGCGGAGGAGGTCCAGTCCGGGAAGCCGCCGCCCTTCAGGATCGGCGATGTCCGGGCGGCCATCCCCAGCCACTGCTGGGTGAAGGACCCCTGGCGGTCGATGAGCTACGTCCTCCGCGACGCAGTCGTCGTCGCCCTGCTCGCTCTCGCCGCTGCCTCTCTCGACAGCTGGACCTTCTGGCCTCTCTACTGGTTCGCCCAGGGCACCATGTTCTGGGCTCTCTTCGTCCTCGGACATGACTGGTACACACCCACCTCGTTCTTCTTGATTGAGCTCAGAGTGGAGGAACTAAGACCGCTTGTGTTGGCAGTGGGCATGGGAGCTTCTCCAACAGTGCATTGCTGAACAATGTCGTGGGACACCTTCTCCACTCCATCATTCTGGTGCCATATCATGGATGGTAAGCGTTGCTTCTACCTAATCTCTAGTATTCATGCCTGGAATCACTTGATTCCGATATCGAAAGTGATTCTTCCCTTCCAATTCCTTTGTTGGGGTTGGTCGCAGGAGGATTAGCCACAGGACTCATCACCAGAACCATGGGAACGTAGACAAGGATGAATCATGGCACCCGGTCAGTACGATACTTAGCTCCAATTGCTCTGTGTTTGCACTGTATGATGTTTTGCTGCAAGAACAGCACACAGCCGTCTCTCTCTGTTCTGCTCAAGAGCGTCCTGCTTCTTTGCTGCAGCTGAGTGAGAAGACGTACAGAGAAATGGATTCCACCAGCCGAAAGATGCGGTTCACGTCACCTTTCCCCTTGTTTGCCTTCCCTGTCTATCTGGTGAGTCCGCCGAGATCCAAACCCTTGTCGATCGCGCTCGAAGAATTCTAACTCCATTTCTTCTCGGCCATGATTCCGTAGTGGAGGAGAAGCCCCGGGAAGGAAGGCTCTCATTTCCTGCCGAGCAGCAAACTGTTTCGCCCCGGAGAGGAGCAGGATGTCGTCGTCTCCACCGTCTGCTGGTCGGCCATGGCGGCCTCGCTTCTGTGTCTATCATGGGCGTATGGCCCTGTTCCGGTGCTCAAACTCTACGGCGTACCCTACTTGGTCAGCATCCTGGTTGCATTCTCCTGCATGTAGACGTTGAATCTGATGCATCTGCAATTGCCTGGATCAGGTGTTCGTGATGTGGTTAGATTTGGTGACTTACCTGCATCACCATGGACACCGACAAAAGCTTCCGTGGTACCGCGGCAAGGTGAGAGACTCTGTTCCAATCTGGTCAAGGTGAGCTGTTGACCTTCTCAGCTCACACCACCTTCTCCCCATCTCGCAGGAATGGAGCTACCTGCGAGGAGGACTGACGACGCTCGACAGAGACTACGGGTGGATAAACAACATCCACCATGACATCGGGACTCATGTCATCCACCACCTCTTCCCTCAGATCCCACACTACAATCTCGTAGAAGCGGTGAGTATCCATCCTTCCTCTCTTCCTCTTCCTCCATGGAAGCGTGACCGGTACACTAACTTCCTTCTTGATCCTCCGCTTCAGACCACGGCCGCGAAGCCGGTGCTGGGGAAGTACTACAGAGAGCCCGAGAGATCCGGGCCGCTGCCATTTCACCTGCTCGGCGTTCTGCTTAGAAGCCTAAGAGTCGATCACTTTGTGAGCGACGAGGGGGACGTCGTCTACTACCAGACAGACCATCAGCTGCACGGTGGCCGGCGGCAGAAGTCGAAGTGAAGCCTCCCGTGTCGCTCCGCCGATTGGTAGCAGGTGTCCGATTCTTGCAACCGAACTGGTAGTCCACGATGAGGCCTCGCCTGATCTCATCTCATGCATCTTGCATTGGCTATCCTTCTTTGTTCGTTTGTGAATCTTGAGTTGGGTGGCGGATCTCCGGCCGGTGAGCTTTTCTGTATCAATTTATTTTTCTTTTTGGTGTATCATTTCATCTCTGGGCGAAATACAATATTTATTTGAATAATAATAATGACAATAACAATAGCTTTGGTGCAATTATTTATAGTCCCATGTCTTTGGAAGTAGAAAATATATGCTTATAATACAAAGAGGGGCTAATTAATTAGTTATCTTTAGTTTTAAAAATTATTTTTAGATATCTATGCTTACAAAAATCAAACTCGTTTCTTTTCACGTCATCGATTCTACTAACGAAAATACTTCGTATACTTAATGATAAACCGAAGTGAGACAGAATCAACATGTGTTCAGCGTTAAACTTTACGATATTTCTATCAGTAGAGTCCTGACGTAAGAAGAAATATGAGTAAATATTTCAATAAATATAAGGATCCCAATATAATTTTTAAAAATATAAAAATAAAATATTAAATATAATTAATTTAAAATATATATATATAATTAATTAATCTTATAAAAAAAATATATATGTTTACTTGGAGTGAAAATTATTGAGATCAAGAGTCAAAAACCCAATATATATAATAATCCTTTAATCTATTTGCCTATTGTGATCAACATGCGATGCCAACATGCAACTATTCAAGTTGATCGGAGAAGGCCAATCTAGGATTGCATATAGAACTAGCTGAGATCACAGTTCATATCCTCCTTTTTCTCTTACGGCCACTCACAGGTGGCCTAATAGAAGTATCTCTTCATGAATTTATTCTTATAGACATGAGTAAACACACACGCCTTATGTTAATTCAAGATCATTGCAGACTTTTCGACACATATCCTGAAATCTTATACGCTCTCATGCTGTGTGGTGATTAGAGAGAGTCAAACACACAGACAAGTAACAACAAGCTCGGTAAACCCATCCCACAAGGCCTCACTCCTCATGGTAGGATTATTCCCTTTGATGTGTTGATTTCGAAGAAGAACACCACTCCATGGCCACCGCAACTCGACAGTCGTAGTCCTCACTCACTCATCCTCATCTGCTTCCGCCGCATCAATCCATTCTTTCTTCCGGTGGTGGTGAATTGGGTGCCGGAGCAGAGTCTACTTGAGGGCCGGCCGACTCTGTCGTAAGAAAGCTTAGCGTCATGACTACATCAGCCATTAACGGGCGCACCGAAGCCTCTTCTTGGAGACACATCGCGGCGACGGCCACCGCTTGGCTCAAGCCTTTTGATGGATACTCCCCTTGCAGAAGTGGATCGACGAGCTCCGGGAACCTTTTCTGGTCTCTGAACATCGGCATCGCCTGCGGAAATCAGCAACAAAATAAGATCATACGTAAACATGTCCTCGAAACTGAAACTTGATGATCCACAGCACGTATCTACATTCGGAGGGTTGATTTCATACCCAAGCAACAAGGTTCGGTTCATTCGTGTCCATGACACTCTTCCCCGTGATCAACTCGAGCATCACGACTCCAAAACTGTAGACGTCTGACTTCAAGGTAAGCTGACCTGTTCTCGTGTATTCAGGTGAACTGTAGCCATTGGTGTCCATCACCATCGACGATACATGGACTTTGTCCCCCTTTGCAAGCCCAATATCAGAGAGTTTTGGGTTGAAATCTTCGTCAAGCAGAATGGTGGATGGTTTAAGCTCACGGTAGATCACAGGCGGGTCGGCCTTCTCGTGCAAAAACTCTAGACCTTGAGCGGTGCCATATGCTATCTTCATCCTAGTATACCAGCTTATAGGTTTCTGATCAGCTGAGGTACCTGGAAACAGGAAAAAATGATGTTACTGGCTTCTACAATAGCATATCAAATTACTTGCTTACAATGATTATTATTACTCTTATCGAAGGAAATATTTTAAGCCTAAGCAACTTTAGAAGCATCATCCCGGCTTTCTTGAACCAACTATGGTTCAAGAAAATTCACCTATCTAACTATGGTTCAAGTTAATTCATACAATGAAGAACACAAGGTTTCCATGGACAAGACAATAGGTATGATAGAAAAGAGCAGTAGTCTTCAGACGGGAATCGTGCAAGAAACAGATGAATTCCACGAAGAACAGCATGCGAAAATACAAAACGAGCTATTGTTAAGACAGTACCATGCAAATGGTCTTCCAAAGAGCCCGTAGGCATATACTCATAGACCAAGAGTCTTTGATCACCATCGGCGCAGTATCCGATAAGCTTGATTAGATTTTGATGTTGGAGGAGACTCAGCGCCTTTACTTCAGCAAGAAAATCTTGGCCTTGGTACCCATTCCTGTCTAGTTGTTTAACAGCTACAGTCTATACCCCAAAGTTTGAATTTTATGAGTAACCATATGGCTCAGAGTAAGAATAAACCTTACAAATGTCACAATAAGCTACTACAAGACTAGAACATAGATTTAACTGCGTTTACCTGGCCATTATTCTCGAGGCAGCCCTTGTAAACTCTTCCGAACCCTTCTTCACCCAAGAGGAATTCGGGTCGAAAGTTCTTGGTAGCCGAAGCAAGCTCACGGAATGTAAATGTCTGTGCTGCAATACTTCCATTTCCAGCATCCTGTTGAGCTTCTTCCACCGAGGCCTTTTGTGTCGGATGCCCTGCACAGTGAAGAAGTTTGCGAGCAAAACTATGAGAAGGCATGAGTAGTCACAGACTGACTTTACATTTACAGAAAATGAGATACATCTGAACAATGTCACATTACACCAATGTAACCTCGACAAAGGGATTCCGAAAAAAAAAAAAAAATCGATTGTCGTGGCCTAGTCATAATCCGAGGCAATGCTTCAGAATCCTCTCTGAGTTCTATCGAGCTCTTTTATGAGTACAATTCTAAATAAAGACAGGCACCGAAAGCAAATGATTTAGAGTTTGGACTTGGCAGCAAAAGAAGCAATTTATTCCGAGTAACACCTGCTTCTTGCAATGGTTCATAATCCCAATTGAGTCAAAGATTGAGCCCTTAGCTTAGCTAAATGTGTCTGGTAAAGCTCGCGATTATAAAGCGAAATAGGCAACCGATTTCTATGTTTGTAATTTGCATGCTTCTACACACCTGATGAAGGCAAAGGAGAACTTCATTTGACTGATGTACCATTTACAACATTTCTAGAACGAAACCGATGTGAATTAGTCATCCCTGGATTGCAGAAGATAAATTCTCAGATGTCAAATGATCAATTCACAAAGCTATCGAAATAGCATATCGATGTTTTGAATTGGGGTTTTCTGTTAGGCAGTAGTAATTTGGTTGTGTTTTTCACATAATTTACATAAAAAATGAGCCATTCTTGCTGTGCCCCTTCTTTACAGAAAGAAAAAGGAAGATCTACGCATTCTGGAATTAACCTAAAAATTCGAAGGAGACAAAAAGACGTGAAAATTCTAAGTTTGAATCAAAGAGCAGACGAAGAAATGGCACGAGATGATGGTGGCAAGCAACAGAAAACTCACCGGGCTTTTCTGTCAGTTCATTGTCCTTAACGACGCGTGCGACCGGAGATAGATCCTCCTCTGCGGCGCTCTTCCTCGAAAAACAAGGAAAGCAGCTCATTTCGTAGAACACCACTCGAGTTACCTTCGATTCTCCTCGACAGCCTCAAATCTCCAGGCATAATCCAGGCTCTATCGTCAACAAACTACAAACATTTCTTTTTTTCTGAAAAGGCATGTAAAAAGCATCCAATTTACCAAAAGGAATCAAAAATTTCCGGCACCCGAGCCCTGAAATCCTCAAAAATTCGGAAAATTTCAACACGGGGTTGGAAATTTCGACAGGTCAAGGTCAGGAAAACAACACGTCCAGATCGAGAACACCACGATAACTCAAAACCGGGGTTGGGGGGGTGGGGGTGGGGGCGCAAATTTGTCGAATTTTCATCCAAGACGCCCCTGAAAGGCTTGAAAGCCCTTCCGGGGAGATCAGAGTCCCTGAGGGGGGAGCAAGTCGGCTCAAAGAACGATCTTTTATTAGGGGAGGGAGGCGAAGAAGGGAATAAATGGGGCAAGTGCTTGGGCAACGGGCACCGGTGGCTCCTCCGGAAGTGGTGGGTGGGATTTGAGGACATCTGCAACGCCCTCGGCACGAGACCTCGATCCAAATTCGCGGGGCGGAGAGAGACGAGGAGGAATCCCCGTTGGCAATCTTCCGGTAATTATGGACTACAGAACCGAAGGAAAGAAGGGTGGAGACGAGAGAGAGAGAGGGAGAGCGAGCGAGCGAGCGAGCGAGAAGGGCGGGAACAAGTCAATAGAACAACCGCTAGATCACGAGCTACGAAGCTTTATGATTCGTGCACAAGATCTGATGGGCTTATCTAATCGGGTTAGCTACGTTTAGCATTACAGGTTTACATTTTAAAAGTTATATCGATATTCCTATAGTTATGAATATAAAATATTTAATCTAATTTCTCCTCGTATTATCGATTCGGAAGATAAGGAACATGCTTACGTGCAGAAATAATGTTAAAAATAGATAATTCTCTCTCCTGACTTCGTCCTCCCATCAATTTTACTATTCTTTTGAATGACCGACCCAACGGCGATGTCAACGATCTTTATCTCTTACATCATTTCATTTCTTCTGTTTCATTGTCCCCCTTTCAACTTCGTTATTCTCCTGGATGACCTACCCAATGAAAGCGTCGATGGTGATTCTCATCTCTTACACTCTAATTTTCTATTACTTTGTTATAGTATTTATCGCCCTTGTCCTTGGGCTTCATAGAGGTTAGAGGCGACGCTCGAATCTCCTTTGGGATGCCATGATCAGCAAAGAATCACCGACCTTATGCTAAGCTAAAGGCGTTGGGAAGAATAACGAAGCAAAAGATGTGAAACAGTCCAGGATATAAGGATTGCTATCAATGCCACCAATGAGTTAGGATGTCTAAGATGATAGTAAAGTAGGAGAAATGAAATGATAAATGAGATGATAATCGTGTCACTGACACTATCGTTTGATAGGGTGCCTAAGAGGATAACAAAGTTGAACGTGAAGATCAAGCCAAAGGTAAAAATGAGGTAATGAATTACCTATTTTTAATGTCATTTTTGCATTTGACAGTACGTGCAATATCTTCCGTTAGTAGACTCGACAGCATAAGGAGAAATAAGGTTAAATATTTTACTTTCGTAACTATAGAAATATCAATTTTTTTTTAAATATAAAGATCGAAATACTAAAGATAACTTATAATTAGTCTTTTCTCTTGTTGAGTCTTTGGATAGTTTTATTCTGAATTATTTGATTCGGGTCTCATCATTAACGTATAATAACAAATAATGACTTTTAATTTACGATTAGTCTTTAAATTAATTCGAAGTATTTTGACACGAAATATATTATTTTTATTTTTATTTTTATTTATTTGTTGCCCCTTTACTTATAACCCGTAGTTTTGAATCCAGTTCAATGTAATTAGTACCATATTGATATCTTTCGTACGGTCTCTTTAAATATAAATGACGATATATACATAATATTTTTTTATGATGTCAAAATATTATAATATTATTATAATTAACATAATAATAGATCGATTTATCTTACGGATCGGATCCATTCGATGTGAAGGAAAAGATCAAAAACATTTTGGAGATAAGGTACTAATAAGAAAAATAGAAATATAAAAACCACCAATCAGAAAAGCCGAAAGATTTGTCCGGAAATTCGCACAATATTAACAAAAAACAAAGTTGCTACTTCTTTTCTATCATACAACACCAACATTAGTTCGCCACGTGTCCGAGCTGATCACCATGGGTCCCCCGTCGACGAGAGGGGCCTCGCACGTGCGGTCTCACTTTTCCCGCTCCCACCCGTTTTAAAATTTCCACGCCCAAAATAAATAAATAAATAAATAAAAAGACAAACACAACCGCGATCCGAAGGCCGCCTTTGGCGCCCCCAAATTAAAAAGGGAGGAGACGCTCGCAGACAGGATGGAGCCTCTCGACCATTTTTAGATGGGATCGCGCTTCCGTCCTCCCGATCTCTCCATCGCCTCGGTGGAGGATGGTTCCGACGCCTCGAGGCCGCCGCTGCCGCCCATGGCGAACCCTAGCTCATCAGCAGGCGAGCTCCCCTCTCTCCTCTTTCGCTCTCTCTCTCCTCGGGTCAGGGTCGGTGCCGTTAGGGTTTCCTGTTTGGAACAACTCCTGCAATTCCGCGCTTTCTTTCTCTTCCTAGGTTTTGGGAAGGTATGCGTTCTGTGTTTACCCTTGAATTAGAGTTGCTCTGTCAGATTCTTGAGCCGTCCGTGGTGGCGCTTGAAATGAAAGGCAGGTCATCCAGAAGGAAATATCCCTTTCACATTAGCTTTTCGCCTGTACGTTTCTAGATGTTTAACGCACACGATGAAGTTGTGATGTGGAACTGCCCTATCGTAGGCGACTATCTTGACTTTGTTGGGTTTATTCTGCTCGGGTACCGTGCGGGGCAGTCGGTTTGGTAGAAAGAAAAGAAAGTGTATTGGATCATCAAATATCAAATCAGCTATTATCATTGTTGTAACAATCTTTAAGTTGGATGACCTCTATCTATATATACATGTTTGGGAAAGTAGCATGTTTTTAGTGTGGACTTTATCTTATCGAATGCAGGACTTGCTGAACATAAGGTTCAGCTGGTACGGACTTGTAAATCACCCAAAGATATGAGCAACAAAGAGAATATTTCCACTATTGAAGAAGATGGTTTGGATGTTTCAACCTTCTGCAAGGTGGAATCAGTGCAGAAGAGGAGCAAAAAGTCTGGACGGTGTAATCTGAGGAAAAGCTTAGCTTGGAACCAAGCATTCCTAACCGAAGAAGGTACTTTAATTTTATCACTAATTCTCTAGTATCTGATTTAGTAGAAGGTGCTTTAGTTTTATCACTAATCATATCACTAATTCTCTACTAAGAAGGTACTGATTTCTTACAATTTACTTAATCATGTCCCTGAAATTTTATCACTCTCATCAGGTGTGCTAGATCCACTGGAGCTGTCTATCCTCGGTGGGTCTTCCATGAAGCAGAAGGAGAGTGTTCTCTCTGTAATTAATGGACAACTGTCACCACTATTGGGGTTCCATAAGTCAGATGTTACAACGCCATGTGATGCTGTTGGACAGAAGACTATTGGCAAAATGCATGTGCAATCTGGAGGAAGAAAATTGAAAGATAGCAATTTAATTGGCAAGTTTGATGCATCAATTCAGGAAGAACAGCAAGAGTTGATGGTTAGTATTTCTCAAGTCAGCTCTATGATATCTTCTTTTCCATGTGATTTTGTATGAACCATCGTAGGTGACACTTCAGTATTCCCAATATGCATATACAACTTCCTTTATGCCACTAATCAGATATTACAAGTGAAGATTTATATGCTCATATCATTTTCTGCAATCTCTAGGTCTCAGGAGTTATATCAACGAGCAAGCGCACAACAAAAAGTGTGCCACGACTACCGGCTGCATCTTCATATCCTTTTACATTCCTTTTCCAAAAAGAATATGTGGATACTTATTATCAGAGGGGGTTTGACAGATTCTAGATCTTTTTCATTTGCCTAATTTTTTTTTAATAAATTTAATATTCATTAGTTGCTCTATTTATGGAGGTAAGGATTCATATATTGACCCTCCTCATTGCTTCATTCACTGATTCGTCCTTTTATTTTAATCACTTCAAAAACCATAATCTTAACTCCACTGTACACAAAAGAGAGTTGCAAGCTCAAATGCAGCAAATCCTACATCAAAAATTCCGAAGTTTATGCCTACAAAGTCACATGCTGCCTCTCTTACACCTACTTCCAGAGGTGACATTTCAACCCCAAGGGACTTTACTTTAGACCAACGTGCCACGATGGGTAGTCTTTCTAAATTTGATTTTATTTTGTCTAAATGATTCTTGAGAAGTCTGTTAACATATTTTGGTGAAGTTTGTTGGCCATATTTAGTATTCTGTATTATCTGTATGACATATTGGAATTGCAGTTTATACGGAGCAGAATTCTAGTGTGAGGTGTTTTCCATCAAACATGAGAAACCAATCCGCTTGTGCTCAATCATCCAATTCTTCTGCAGTTAATTCTCATAGGCCCTTGGTGAGGAACAAGATGTTCATTGAGTCTATTATTGATCTTTTTTTAAATCTGTATATGGCATCAAACTGAATAATGTAGTATTAGTTATACTATTTATTTCCATTCAGTTTTGGTTTGGCATGCGTTGATCAAATTAGAAAGTCCACTGAAAGGTGTTTATTTACTTTTCTAGGTTCCCTTGATGGAGAGAGGTGTGAATGGTTTTAGTTTGACGTCAGATTCATCAGCTTCTAAAGTTGTGCAGGGAACAATAATTTCTTGTAACTCCAGTAAAGAATCTTCATCATATCCTTCAAAAGCCTACCATGCTGCAGGAGGTGCTCTTGCACCAGGACATGCAAAACCATCTGCGTTGCGGATGCCTTCACCATCGTTGGGATTTTTTCAACAGGTAACATCTACCATTATGTTTCTATATCATTTTCTTACTGCATATTGGATACACGAAAAGTTGAACTGGGCTAAATCATTTTAATTAAAGAGAAAAAAAGGGTGACATTTGCTAATTGGTTTTTAATAAACTTTAATTTGTATTAAATATCATCTCCTTCTGTTGTCATGCTTCATAAGGGAAGGTAGAAATGCAAAATTCTGCTTAATGAATATAACGACAGTTATCAAATAATTGACAGCATACATGCAGCGGATGCACATCAACGTTTCCAACACTTCAAAATAGGGTTCCTATGTGATTATTAAATAAATGTTGGATGATAATTAAGAAGTTAATTTGAAGCTATTCCTATGATACAACAATGAGCACATGTTTGAGTTTTTGGAAAGCTTCAAACTTATACCAGTTCATAACAGCAGCTAAACCACCATAAAGATATCATAACCACAATGGTGTTCTGTTTCAACTTTTTAACTGAAAGATGTTCAAAATGGAAGGTGGAGAAATTAACTAATATATAAGCTTAATATATATGACAGCCACTGTAAGTAATTTTTTATAATTTTTTTTGTCTGATTAGATGTGCACCAACATGCCTTATGGTATGTCTGCATGTTTGCTCATGCAGGTGCCAGTCAGCTATCAAATTAGATTATTTATTGTTCTCAATCAGATGATTTTGAGCTCCATGACTAGTGATTTTTGACAGTATTTGTTATTTAATATTTACTGATATTGTAGGGCAAGCGTCCTTCATATTGTCCCCAACCTCAAGTAAATGTTCAACCGCCCCGACCTACTATTCCTTGTATAAGAGCAAGTAAGGTAAGGCCCACAGAAGAATCGAGGCTTTTGCCTCCTTCAACTTGGCAAAAATCTTTGAAGAGCCTTCCTGCTCCAGAATCTTTTGCTGGGACTATAATTTCTAGCAAAATGGAGAACGCTTTGGTAGCTATTTCTTTACCCTCATCCAACGGAAATGTTGTGCATCCATCAACGAGGGAAAATGTTTCAAAGATGCAAAGGGACAAGATGGCTATAGGAGCCTCTGGAAGGTTGTCAGACAGCCAGACAAGTGGTCAACAAGCCTTAAAGAGGTATCGGTCACTAATTGATGATGATTTTGCACACCCTCAAGTTTTGTCATCAGGAAACCCAGAACATAATGTTGACAACGAAGTACCTTTTGTGAGTAGCTCAGTGCTGAAGATGAATAACAAGCTTTTGGTTCATGAAAGTAGATTACCTGTGGTACCACTGAAAGTTAATATCCCTGAGGATGTCCACCATACATGCTTGCCTACCAAAAGAAATCATGCAAGTGAAACTGAATTATCTCAAGCAAGCTCTCTGTGTAAACTAAATGCAGATGTGTTAGATGAAGGTGCTTCGGAATTGGATAACAAGGCCAAACGACCACTGTCAGAATATACAGGGTGGGTTGCTCATGCTGTCTCAGAACAGGGTGGGTTGGCAGCTAGGAATTCAAATTCATTGCCAGATCAAGAGGTTGGCATTTCATCGAGATTTGTTGAATTTTCTGCTTTAACCAAATCACCTTTGAGATGGAGTAAAACGAAAGTAGTAGGTTCTGGCTCTTGTAGCAGTTCAGAATCAGGTTGTTCTTTAGCTCAAGAAACATGTGCTGTGGACGATTCAGAAATCCACCATGTGACACGTATCTCTTCAGAGGAAACCATGTCATCTTTGACTTCAAGCAAAGAACACATAGCTGGTTCTGATTTCATTAGCAATACAGAAGTAGACTGTTCAGCACAAAACACAGGCATACATGTTGAGAAAGCAAATTTAGGAACGAATAATTTGGCTGCTATAGTGTCTAGTTTACCAGAGGATCCTCAACCTACGGCATCAACTGACAGTAAATGTCATGATTTTAGAGTGTGTTTTGATAATAAGGATCCTATCAACTTAAAGGAAGAGGGAACCTTGGTGCCCAAGTAAGTACTTGTTATATAAGTTGAGCTACTTTCATCTTGTTCAGGATAAATGTGAATGCATCAAAGTTTTCTTTTTCCTCTTATTTATCTCCAGTGGCAGCAAGAATGATCAGAAGGATAGAGTGCAGCAAGATATTACCCATCTGAAACATCACTTGAATGCTGTCCCATTCACCGATGAGTGGCTTGCTGCAATTGAGGCTTTTGGGGAGGTCAGTTAATGCTGATGAAAAGTTTTCAGGATTGACTATTTTTGCTTTAGTTCCTTCAAATAATTGGATTAAATGAGTATAGACTTTTTATTGATCCCAACAGGAATTAAAATGTTAAGACTGTTTGTTTTCTCAAACCTGTCCAGTCTCAGACATGTCTCTCTCCCTGGTGTCTTTTGCTTTTGTGTTTCCAATAATGGTTGAAGAGCAATACTATTAAGAATGAAGCTGGTTCTTAAGTGATGGTGAAACATAGTGCAGAAAGTAGTTGATTGACAATTGTTGAAAACAAAGCTAAATTAAGAAGCTTGTAAAGACAAAAATCATTAATTTGTTATTGCTTTTTGGTATAAGGATGAAAACCCAAAACTTATGGTGGATGATAGCTGTAGCAAATGATTTTTTTGTCTGTTAGTTTACGCCATACCTGACATCAGGTTGCTTCTACCAAGAATACTTTGGAACAGCATTATCATATTCTGCGACATCTATCTAATGATTCCACTCCTTTCTTTTACCTGCATATCATGTTTCTTAGATAAAGAATTCAATGTCTGTGCTTGTTCATCACGTATACTAGAGCGCAGCAAGTATGTGCTGGCAATAGTATATTTACATTTTTTGTTGTAATTTCTTTTTCTCTAGACATAAGGTCATAGATTCATAGGAAGCACTCAGCTCATCTATTTTGCATATGTTGGCAAGCACTCATGGATCAGCTATTAACAGGAAATATTGGAGCTGAAAACAGGCCCTGTACAAAATTCTCCACCAGACAAGACTCTTCCTAAACCTGGTCCATGGTCACCTGTATGCCATCTTCTCTTCCTTTTTATTAGTATGGTACAAGCTTACACATTATTTCATTTAGATTGTGCTCAGGCATGGTGGCAATGTGTATATTTTCTAAGAGTTTGATTAATTTGTTTATTTGGAAACCGAAAGTTTAGGATGGAACAGGATTTTAGACTTACACTATGAAATTAATGTCTTGTCACCAACTTTAGATTAAAAAATTCAGGAAACAAGGCAAAATTTCCTTGTAGGTTTGATAATAATATTATGAGAAATTATATTATACGTTGTCGTTTAATGATAATATAGAAAAAATAATATGCATGATGTGAAATATAAGATAAGATAGAGCAATTTTTGGATGCATTTTTTCCTTTGAAAAGGAAAGGTGGTAATTTATCTTTATTTCCATTTTGATTTTACTCTTTCCTTCTTTATCCCATTCTCCTTTTTATTTTTATTTTTATCTCCCTTTTCCCTTCTTTCCTTTCGTCTACTTATTCTTTTATTCCCTTCTAAAAGTACATGTTAGACTAATCATTCAACACATTATTGTTATGTGGAAGAGAAGATGAAGCTTTCTTTTTGTCATTTATGATCAGAAAGACAATCATAAGTTTCCTTTTTTTGCCATTTGTGACTATAAAGACAATCACAAGTTTTCTTCTTATCCTTTATTATGATCAGAAAGACAATCACAAGCTCTCTTCTTACCCTTTATGATTAAGTATAAAAGCTCACTTTTAACACAGAGAAGAGAGGAACTTCTTTGGATTCTTTACGTTCGTACTCGTACACCTCAGGATACTAATTTGGGCGTCGGAGAGATCGAGTTAAGAAACATTGGTCTTCGTGCAAGTGACACCAGAAAAGGACAACCTAACTTTGTGAAGAGAAATCCATCACGGTGGAGGCATAAGGTAAAATATGCTCGAGATGTGTGAGTAAAAAAAAACATGACCTATATGAAGAGAAATTCGCTACAATGGAGGCATAAGGTCAAATGTGCCCGAAGCATGTGAGTCGGAAAAATCTGACCCGCGTGGAGAGATTCATTATGATGGAGGCGCAAGGCCGAATGTGCTTGAGGCGCGTGAGTTAGGAAAACCCGACCTATGTGAAGAAAAATCTATCACGATAGAGGCACAAGGTAAAATGTGTTCGAGGCGCATGCGTTGGGAAAACTCGACTCGCATGAAGAGAAATCTGTCATGACGGAGGCACAAGATCAAATGTGCTTGAGGCATATGAGTCGGGATATCACGACTCGTGTGAGGAGAAATTCACCACGATGGAAATATAGGCTTTGCTCGAGATATATGAATCTTGGACGCTTTCATGTCAGATGAGCTAAACGTCGCATTTTGAGTTCCTCTCGCAAAAGGCTCGAAGCACGTCTTGGGGAGGGGAGGGACAAATGATAGGGGATATATTATCAACTAATCATTCGACACGTTACCATGTATTGCCCAGAGAGAGGAGAAGATGATGTTTCATTTTTGTTATTTATGACTAGAAAAACAATCACAAGCTTTCTTCTTACCATCTATGACCAGAAAGGTAATCACAAACTTTTTTCTTGCCCTTTATAATCAGAAAAGTAATCGTAAGCTTTCTTCTTGTGCTTTATGACCTGGTATAAAAGTTCTCCTTTAACATAGAGAATAGAGGAACTTCTTTGGACTACTCGCATCTGCACTTGTATACCTCGGGTTACTAATATGATTGTCAAAGGGATTAGGTCGGGAAATCTTTTCGGTCCTTGGTTTTAGGTGGCACCTTAGGAGCTTGGTGTTTTCATCTCGAAGGCACTTTGGATAATCTTGTGCATACAAAGACTCCTTTACTCTATATTTTTCGTTAATGTGATGATGCATCTTGATCAGGGGCATCGATGAACGCGTGTGGCCAGATTTGTCATGCTGATGATTGGCAACACGGGTAAATGATTTTGTGCGGGAAGAAATCGAAGCGTTTTTAGTCATATTTTGATAATTATGGCTTTGTGTGTATTATAATATATAACTTTTTCTTTTTGTGGAATCCGACTTGAATCATATCATCTTACTGGTCCAACTTGAGATCAGCCCAACCTGGGTGGATTGAACTCCAATCAGGTTATAAAATGTTTTGTGCTTCTATTGCTGCGACCATTTGGTGGTCTTTGTGTTTTTATGTGGTGGGCTCTGCAGGTTAAACGGAAAGCTCAGGACGTAGGACCATTTGATTGCACGAAGCATTCGACAAATCTGTCACCCCCTGATTCCTCCTAACCCGTCGGTTGCCTCGTATGAAGAGACCTCTTGGTGATCTCAGAGGTTCGATTTGCTCAGCATGATCTGCTTGTACGTCATACTTTTCAATGTACAGACAGTTTCATAAACCTATGAACGCGAATAAAATGGCGAACTGCACGGTTTTTTTTTTCACATTTATTTTTAGGGTTGAATATGTTAGTTCTATTTATTTCGAGGGTTGAATATGTTTCCTCGAACACGTTCTAATTGGTACATCATGAGTCGCTACTTGATGTTTTCCCTGCTATCTATCGTGTCATCATCATCTACAATGTTGAGATCCCGTTAAAACGCTAGTTTGGAACAAGCTTTATATATATACATGCAGGCAGCTACGAGAAGATTTTGATGGAAACAGGGAGCATGTAATATTATATACAAGTCCTACATACCCTTTTTTTTTTATTATTTGTACACATAAATGACAGCATGAAGCCACATAAATAAAAGGAGTTTTGCAAGTTAAAAAAAAGCCCTATTCACAGTTTTCTGTACACCCCATTTGCATCACCAGAACTCTGTACAATTTGCAGCGATGGGCTTCCCTTTGTTCTGCACAATCTGCCCACCGTGTGCTGTGCCATCCCCCCCCCCCCTATATACAACCTCTAACCTGGTAGCATGTTTACAGTTTTACAGTATCGACTACGGTGTTCAATGTGCCTTGATTCACTTAAAAAAAAAAAAAGTCAAAGTGCAGCCTTCTACGAGAGGTGAAATGACCCCTGACCTTCTGTTATCGCGTAAAGCAATTTATGTCTCATCTTCTCCTGCAAACCAGTGATGTGATTAGTTCAATATTTTTTCACATGGTTACACCACCTAAAATGTCCGAAAAAAAAAAAACTACTGCTACGCTCTAGATAAAATTAGCACAACGAGATTATCATTTTACAGTTGGGAAAGAGAATGGTTCTACCAGATGGATGTGGGGATGAGGATGCAACAAAGGAAACATGGACATTGTACTTACCTTAGAAGAGTAAGGTGGGAGCTTTAGATAATTAGCGCAAGTCATGACGCTCGGCAAGTCCATATCGGCATCACAACTACTGTGCTGCTATTAAAAACATAAGCAGAAATAAAAATGTAAGGCTCGTGCAATTTCAGGTGGTACGTCATATTAAGGTGATAAGAATTTTCTAACCTTACGAACCACTGTCAGCTTTGGTTTGAGTGCAGCTAAGCCTCCAGGTGGGAGACGAGGAGAGCCCGTAACAAATTGCAAGAAAGCCCTACGCTGATCTCGCTCAAGCTCTTGTATGATTTCTAGAAACTGAAGATAAAAATATTCAGAGTGATATAATATAGTAGATGGGACACAGAAACATTTCTAGCTATGCACTAGAGAGATTTTGTGGGATACTGACACTAACTACAGTAGGGCTGCTTCCCGTATAACCATGATCGAAGTTGATGTGATCGACGAGCTCAGTGAACTGTGAAGAAAGAATAATTATGACTATCTAGGAGCACTAGATTAGCATCTAAAGGGGGAAAAGGAGGAGGTGGAAATAATACATACATCCCAACAATCTTGTTCTCCACAGAGCAACCGTTCCAGCTCGTCTTTGGTAAAAATTTGAAGAGCTTTTAAAGAGAACACCTAAACAAAATAGTAGACGGTAAGATCACATGGAAAATGAAAAGGTATTTGGAGGAAAACAAATCATTAGCAATCATTGCTTTGGCACCGAATTGGAACGAGCAACATAAGTGAATCGCTTATAAAGATCATAACAAGCATAATATCTTGCTAATTAACTTTCCAAAGACAACAAGCCAATAAGCAGAGGGACACTCATGCAGCCCACACTAATGTCTTGGGGATAAATCAGTACACCTAGTTAATGACTAAGCATTTTTACCCTTCTCTACGATACCTAATGCATGAGAAGATAGCTTTCTAAATTTTCCAAGGATTAGGATGCCTGAGTTCTGCAATGACTTCCTTATTCATGCAAATGCAACTAGAACAACCATTTTGTCCATGCATGAACCAAGAATAAACAATAAAATTCCATTCCAGATGCAATATGCATCACAAGAATTGCTCATAATGGCACAACAGTTCTTCAACCTTGTTTCTAATGTTTGACCTAAACAATATAATTAATGAAATTCCAAGAGGTCTAACAAAAAGGTGTTACCTTCCAACAAAATGTGAAAACCAACCAACAGTCAAACAGATAATCTGCATTTCGTCTATCAAAAGAACTCTGCATTTGAATTATTTTGGTTCTCCGTCAAGTGCATAATGCTGAAGATCTACATTCAGGATATTTCAGTTCTATCAAGTTTGTACCCTTGGTTTTCCTCCAAAGGATGGGGATCAATTAAATAGTAAGAATAGCACCAAGATGCAGATTCCCCTTGTCTTCTTCTTTCTAATGTTACTTGGTAACCTAACCTTTTGAGGTCTAAGCCATATTAAAAGCTCTTCGGTTCGCCTCTGTTATTTAAGAAATGCCCCTTGCGATAAAAGTCACAGATACTGATGGACCTTTACTACCGCCTAGTTGCATGGTAAAAACATGATGCAAAAGTATAATTTCAAGGTCTATTGCATATCAAGATTCATATATTTTACTATTAGCATATCTACGGTCTCTTATATGAAGAAAAGAAAGTGTAAGTTGCAGAGTCTGCCAGCAGTAGCACAAAAACATGTGGTGGAATATTTTGAGTAGCATCAGTCTGCCCCCTTATGCTCCATACCAAAGACCTAACCACACCACCAAAGTCCACAGAAAAGAATTTTTGCAGAGCAGATGGAAGCTTCCTTTTACAAAGGGCTTACTGGAAATTCTCAATTTATATTAACAAATAAATTAAGAAGCCCCCATCAAAAAATAAGAGAGGAAGAGTCAAGGCTAAATATGATTAATCACAATTATAAGAAACAGTGTTAACAATGTTAAGTTTTATGATGCAGTAAAATAAAATGCAAAATATACCTCATTAAATCCAGATTTGAAAGCATCAATTTGCCTTGAAATCCCACTGCCAATTGTTGCATCAACAACCATTGTGACATATTCTTCCAAGTTAACAATATTCACCTATTAGAAAAACAACTAAAGTTAAAAGATGACAAGCTCACGAACAAAGAGGACCTCATTTATCTGGTTCTATGTATTACCATTTTTGTACTCTCTGATAGAAGTGCATAATCAGGGAAGCCGGGAAGAGTGAAATCAAGACAAAGATCCTTAACACTGGTATTCCTGTAACATAAATTTGAAGAGTCTCCAGAAATTGATTCCAAAAATCTTTTCCTATTGACAAGAGCTTGAAACTCCAACATAGTCCTTCCAAGTTCTGGATCAATTGACTGGATATCACATATACTGAGCTCCTACAGAAGTGTGTAACAAGTTCATTCCATGGTCAGATTATGAAACAATCAATAATATAAACTACAGTTCTCAAACAAAACAATCATAGGACTTCAAAAGAACCTGCTCAAGTATAATCTTGTAGAAGGCCCTAGAAAATGGTATATCTAGGATCCTCCCATCTTTAATTGCCTTCGCCACAAGCTTCCCGAGAAGAAGAAACATTTTGATCACTTCAGGAAATTCAGCAACACCCGAGACATCTGTTGATGTTGACCATGGACGAGGAAATAGTCCAAAGGGAGCTAGCACAAATTCAGAATAACCATCAATGGTACTTCTTCCTGCATAACTAAGATCCCCTCTCCACATACCCAATCCAACCTTTTGAAATTCGTGACTTGCTAATGTAAAGAACTCCATTGTGGGACCTAGGCCAGTACCCACTTCCTCAGCGTATTCCACTTCAAGAGTTCCCTTACTTTGAGCATGTAATTTCATCATTTTCACAGCACTTTCAAGAATATTGTTGCGATTGACTATGAACTTCTTACGTAAAGAACCTGAATATGAATGTCGATCATTTAAGGAGTTGGTACCACTACCATCTAAGTTCTGTATGTTATTCTGCTGACTTCTTAAAGAACCAAATGTTGTAAGGTAGAAGTACTTCCGTCTTGCCTCAAAAGAAAATAAGAAAGGGCATGCAGCCATTAACTGGCCACACCATGACGGCATGCAACCAGTGGTTAATACCAACGGGTCTTGCATTTGTTGCTCCAACTTATCATTTAATTTACTGTTCACAAACTCAACCTGTGGAATTGAAGAAACTATCACCTTCAGATCATCAAAGTTCTCTATTCTCCCTTCGGCAAAAGAATTGAGTCTCTCATCGCTCAACAGTTGAAACAAATAGTGATTCATTCCCTCGAAAATCTTCAACATAAACAAGACATCATACAAGGCATTCAATTTATCGATTTTACACGGAAGCTCAGCTAGCAGAAAAGGATACTTCCAATCTGAGAATCCATGTTTATTCCAAAAGACAGATGACTGAGGAACACAATTAAGCATTTCACTATCATTTGCTTTTGGTTCTTCCGCACTTTTATAGGTTAATTTGTACACTTCACTCCAGAACTTTGATCCCACAACCATATCAAATTCTGCACCTTTCTGTTCTTCAAGAACTGCTTGATAAATGGTCATCGAGGAATCAAGTTGTTTCCCTCTTAAACTGAAAGTTAACTTTGGTTTTGCACTTCCAATGCTTGGAGATGCTGAACTTCCTTCAGTGACTTCCTTGGCTGCAGAAGCAAAGAAAGAGGTAAGACACAGTAAGTAAAAAAGAAATGTGATGAGAGATTTATTCATATTAAAAGAAAATTAATAATTTCACTTAGCTGAAAACTTAGACATGTGGTTTCATTACTATTAATGACTGACAAGAATCATAAGTAAGCTTCCATTGTTGGGAAAATCTTACCAGACATAGTCTGTTTTGGACTACTGTCTACTGCAGGTAAATATTGTTCTTCTTGCCTGCTTACCTGAAGTACAATAAAGTAAAAGCAACTATAAGAGAAGGGCTCATCCAAAGCACTTGATATCTTGCTTCAATCTGATTTAAAAGCCAATTTTTACATTATAACTTGATTGCTACGTGTATGATAATATATGATCAATTCTTTCACACTAGAAGCAATATAATACAAATGCAAAAGGAGTATCGGTAACAGGAAGTGCACCTCTGCAGAGTTGGAAATACATGACTCCTGTGAGATGTTTGTGTGTGTCTCTATAGGATTCTTTTCTGAGACATGTTTTATCCCTGAAGTAGTGTCATCTGCTTTCCTATCTGCAGACTCTGTCCGATGTCCATTCTTGCCTTTGTTAACTTTCG